GTGCCTTAGGCATTTACTCCACAGAATGTCACCGCCCCCGTCTGGCCCCGACCCATTCATGTGACCCCTGTCGAACAGGTCACCCGTCTTACTCGTCACTATTTTGCCACCGCTGCTACTGGCTCGTTTTGTTTTGCTAATTCTTAACGGTCCGAAAAGACAGTTTTATGCAACAGACCGATAAAACATACATATTGCATAAGGCCGATCGTTCGGCTTTTTGTACTCGCTCCCCAATTTGCGAACGTTATCCGTGCCCGTAATATATACCAGTGGCGTTTAACATGTTTTGTTTTCTTCCGTTTCAGATCCCAAAACTCGGCAGATATTACAGAGGAAATATAAATCGTCGATGGTGAGTAATTCAACTCGATAGGTTATCCTATATTTCCTTTTTGAACCTAATTGGTAGCATTTATCCGCGTAACTATTATACCCTGGGATTCTTGGACTGCGGCAAGAGAATTAGTTATGTCCAGGGTTGTGCTTGACTCATGAGTTGAGTCAGAAATTTGACTCAACTCTGACTCAAATGAGTCAGATTTGAGTCGAGTCGGATAAAATGTTAAGCTGTTGAGTTGAGTCAGAGTTGAGTCGGACAACAATATTAAGGCGTTGAGTTGAGTCAGAGTTGAGTCAGTAAAATAACTTTTGACATTGAGTTGAGTCAAACATTTAGGAACATGAGTCAGCTGACTCAACTTTCTAGAAACAAGCTTTTCATTCCCTCCCCCCCCCCCCCGCTTAACAACTTCGCCCTGGCTCTGCTGCCGGATTTTTTTCCACCCCCGCCCCCGCTCAGCAACTTTTTTATCTGAGTCAATTTTGAGTCAACTCACTTGACTCAACAAAAAAATTTGAGTCAAGTTTGAGTCGACTCATATTTTCATTGAGCCGCTTGAGTCATGAGTCGAGTCAAGGGAAAAATCAGCTCCTTGTTTGAGTCAGAGTTGAGTCAGGGCTTTCTGAAGTTGAATGATGAGTCGAGTCGGCAAATTTTTTTTTGAGTCGAGCACAACCCTGGTTATGTCGTGCCGTTTATATACCTAAGCATAAGCAGGTACGATAAAAAACGAGAGTTTTTGCAAAAGGCGTAACCGCGTAAAGCGTGTTTTTGGCGCACTACATAGGCTATACCGAGCCTCTCGTCTCGTACTGCTGAAAAATATCCAGGCTTTTTAGGTATGTTTTGCTTTCCCAATCAGACCTCGCGTGCCTTCTGTCCCGTTCTGACCCCCCCCCCCCTCCCCCTGCTATCGTTCCAGGCCGATCAGATATGCTACTCGGTGCTATGCGTCTTCTCCTACGTGGCTGCCGGGTCAGAGCAGAAACGACACCTACAGCAGCGACTGGCGCCTGCCTCCTGAACCTGTCGCCCTCCTGTCAGCTCTTCTCCAGGGCGCTGCGGCACTTCCAACAGCATGATCAGACGGCTGCGTCAGAGGAGCGGTGTCCCGAGTTGATCAGTGATCACCTCGGGACACCGCTCGAGGTGATCACTCGTGAAACCATATGAAAGTGCTTCTTTATCAGCGAGCGAAAAAGAAGCACTTTCATATGGTTTAAAGTTCGACTCGGGCAAAGACCAAGTATCATTAGTTGAACACGTTGCTAAAAATTACAAAAATAACGATACTAATGTTGACAAGGGCTTTGTTCAGGGAGTAGTGACATGTTGCAAGATTTTGGCTGACAAAGAGAACAGCAGCCTGCCAAGAAGATATCATGAGGCACTAGATTCACTAGCCAAGGACGATTCTATTATCATTACTTCAGCAGACAAAGGTGGGGGTATCATCGTCATGGACAAGAATGATTACTTAGAGAAAATGAATGAACTTTTGAAGGATAAGGTATATGAAAAGAAAAAGACAGGTTATGCAAAAGCTGAAGGAGAAAAATTCAATAAAGAGGCTCGAAAAATTCTTAAAAAGTCTGAACAAGGAAAACAACTACTTTACACATTGGAACAAGATCCTTTGCCACCTAAAATGAGAGGGCTCCCAAAGATTCACAAACAGGGCATACCGATGCGCCCCATTACGTCAGGCATTGCAAGTGCGCCCCATAGGTTAGCTAAGATACTAGCCAAACCGTTGACAATGACTCTGGGAAGCTTAAGTGACGCTCACTTAAGGAATTCAGGGGACCTCATTGAGCGGTTAAAACAAACGCAATTTAACGGGAAAAAACTAGCGAGCTTTGACGTCAAGGCGCTATTTACAAACGTCCCTATCGACGGCGCTATAAAGGCGATTGAAAAAGCGCTGAACGGCCTAACTGAAGATTCATTACCATTACCAAAAGAGGATTATCTGTCTTTAGTAAAGCTCTGCCTCAACTTTCATCCGTTCATCTTCAACAAAGAAGAATATGCACAAAACGAGGGGCTTGCCATGGGCTCACCTCTCAGCGCAGTGGCTGCGTGCCTATTTATGGAAATGTTAGAGGAGGAGGAATTCAGCAAGGTGATGGGGAATGATACAAAATGGTATCGTTATGTGGATGACATTTTAGTCATTGCGCCAGAGGAAATGGATCTAAACGTGAAGCTACAAGAGCTGAATCAAGTACATGGGAGCATTCAATTTACACTAGAAGAAGAAAGAGACCAAACACTTAACTTCTTAGACGTTAAGATTATCAAGGAAGATGTTAGTGTAAAGTTTGCGGTCTATAGAAAGCCAACAAGTAAGGAGGATTATATTCATTTTTATTCTGCACATAGCATGAGAACAAAGTCAGGGGTCGTCATTGGCTTTTTCCTGCGCGCATACCGTATTTGCAGCGAAAAGTACATCGCAGATGAGATCAAACACATTTTCGAGGCATTTGAACGGCTCAAATACCCAAGAGCTTTTCTCATTAGATGCAAGAACAGTGCCAAACGCATAAGAAAGAAGAAAGAACAAGCAAATACAAGAAACCAAAATGAAGAAAGACAGCAGAAAAGCAAACGAGTCATTGTTGTGCCACATTCTAAACAAGTGCAATGCTTAGCAAAAGGGTTAAAACAGGCAGGTGTTAGGCTGATAGAAAAATCTGGAACAAAAATAGGTGACATGATTAAGGGAGGAACTGAAGGACAGCGAAGGGCGAACAGCGTAGTCTACCAAATTCCTTGTGGGGGCTGCCCAAAAGTATATATCGGTGAAACTTACAGAGGGCTCAAAACCAGAGTAACTGAACACAAGCGTGATTTGATAAATCATAATTTGTCTAACTCAATTACGTTACATGCCGAAACAGAGGGTCACCTACCTAAGTGGGATAAAGCCAGTGCGGTGAAATCAGGTCTGAAGAGATCGCACAGAAAAATCCTTGAGTCGGCATTAATTCAAAGTGTGTCATGTACGAACCATAAGGGGGGCTTTTACACCTTAGGAGGGGCGATTTGCGGTCTTGCATTCCAGAAGTATATAAAAACATTCTACCCGTGATATTGTGAGAAAAATTGCAGAGTGTGTATTTGCGATGTGAGCTTTTATACCATTTTCTTTTTGTATTATGGGAAGCTAGCACTGAAGATGATCTATTCGAAACGCGTTTGCGAAGGCTTTCTATAATACAGTACCTTTATATTTAAAAAAGTTTCACTTATCTAGTCATATAGATCACCTCGGGCTTGTTCTCTCTCTGGACACGGCAGTACTGTCGGCTCCACTCTTCCTGGACAGGACGATACTGTCGGGTTGTCTCCCGGACAGGGCGATACTGTCGGGTCGTCTCCCGGACAGGGCGATACTGTCGGGTCGTCTCCCGGACAGGGCGATACTGTCGGGTCGTCTCCCGCACAGGGCGGTACTATCGGGTTCCCTCTTCCCGGACAGGGCGATACTGTCGGCTCCACTCTTCCCGGACAGGGCGATACTGTCGGCTCCACTACTCTTCCCGTACAGGGCGGTATCATGTCGGGTCTTTCTTCGCTCAGTCGTAACGACGGTAGATGTGAGATTAGCGGTACTTAGCAGGCGGTTCCGATGAGGATGACATTTCAGCTGGGGATGGAAGCTCACATTGAGCCGGTGGCGAGGGGCTGGATGCGATGGGATGGACTATAGAAAGGAGAATCTATCCGGAGGGTATTATCACGGAATATATAGTTTACGACATATGTCGAATATATGTCGTATGTATTCCGTGGTATTATCATGGTATTATGATTGAAACCCGGTTGCTGGAGTCTATGAATGGCAAAGATGTTGGGCTCATTACTTCAGATGATCACAGGCTGTCAGGCTTGCCTATACATTTAAATCAATAGCACTTCGCTTGTATTTCCTTATATTGTTCTACATGAGTGCCGGGGAATCGGGAGGGGAAGCGTGTAATTATCAATGTTGTCACATGTTGTCGTTTGTTTTGATCTTTGTATGAGATTGCCGCGGCCTGGCTCAGAATTTGACGTTAGCCTGCCCGCGGCACTGGCTGTGGTAGCTGGGGCAGTCGGTTGCGCGCTATCCAAGCGTCTTCAGAGGTTCTCTGCAGTCTGCGGGCTGTTCGTTGTTGTTATGATCAGAACGAGAGGCGCCAGGCTTGTGCTTATATGATATAAACGTTTACGATGCCTTTGCCAAGCCGGTTCATGGCAAAGGAACACTGCGCATCGGCCGAATGATCTATCTATTCTGCTCTCTGTGCTCGATTGCATTAGCTACATGATATAATTGTGATCGTGCTCTCAATGTCGGGCGTTTTATTGTATCAGCTCCATTTTACTAATGCTCTGAGGATGTCGCGCTATTCTGGTATGCGTCTCTTCAGACGTCGCTGTTTTTACAGAACTGACTTGTTGGTGTGAATGCAAGTATTTAAAGAATGTTTAAGATGAATGAGATTTATCATCAACTTTCATCCATTGTTCTTGTGGCTCTATGTCTGCGCAATACATAATAAATACATACAAATTGTTTGGTGTTTCAAGATAAGTTTCCATAGATCACTGAAGCTGGTACTTATTATGTACGATTATTATCATCGTTTGGTTTTGCCTACAGACGTTTTCGCATGGTCACGTTTTGTATAAACATCATCACAGCTTACTGATAGGACGACTGATGCCAGACATCTACGATTAGGGCAGACGGTACACCACGCCGCGCTAAAACGCGCCCTAAACAAACATTACCTATCTTGACTCGTCTATGCTTTCAGAAAATCAAACAAACAGATACAATCGAATCGATTGTAATTGTCAGCCCATAAGCTGACAAGCGGCAAAATTCATACGGATTCATTCATTGCGCTAACCCGCACATCAATAGTTACGAAAAGCGTTTGTGCGAGGCGTTTGATTGCACTCATTTGTCCACGATAACACCCACACGACAGGCTGGAGTCTGGCGAAAAACGATTTAAATCCAGTTCACGGCTCATCGTGTCACACTGTGTGGTGCTATATCCCGACATCGTTCTCACGGCAACACCCGACTAGCGCTGGCACACAGTGCCTTTTGATGGCACTGTGAACGCCCGTCTACCTCCACAGCCGTCATCTGGGACCCCCGGACGGTGTGTGTGTGGGGGGGGGGCGGGGGCGGGGGAGGGGTCAGCGGCGGCGGGTGGGTACCACCTCGAACGGCTTGGGCGTGGTGACGCCGAGCCGGTCGGCGCTCGACAGGTCATGCTGGAAGCCGGCGGGGAAGGCAAAGCTGTACCGCTGCAGCGCGCACGTCAAAAACAGGAACAGCTCGGATCGAGCCATCGCCTCGCCGAGACACGAGCGTTTGCCGACTGAGAACGGCATCAGCGCCTTGCTGGGGCGCACGCGGCCCTCCCTGTCAAGGAAGCGTTCTGGTTTGAACTGCTCTGGTTCGGGGAAGTGGGCCGGGTTCCGATGGATGGCCCGCAGCAGGGACACGAGGATGGTGCCGCGTGGGATCGTGTAGCCACCCAGTTCGAACTCCTGCTCGGCCGAGTGCAGCACGCCCATCGGCACAATGTCGCCGAACCGCTGGGTCTCCATCAGGAAGGCCTCTGTGAAGGGCATCTGCTGGCGGTCGGCGGCCGACGGAGGCCGGCTGGCGCCCACCACCTGATCAATCTCCGCCTGAATGCGCCGCTGCGCCTCGGGCCGCGCGCACAGCAGGCAGAAGGCCCAGCGCAGCGTGGTGCTGGTGGTGTCGCTGCCGGCGCTGAACATGTCGCCGATGCTGCGCGCCAACACCTCGTCCGTGAACCGCTGCGGGTCAGAGCGCTGCTCCAGCAGGAAACACTCGATGTAGTCGCGCGGCTCCGAGGTCGGGTCGAAGTCGCGCCGGTGCGCCTCCAGCACAGGCGCGATTAGGTGCGTCTTCGGGTAATTAAAGAGCTCGATGACTTCGTCCAGTCGAAACAAGCTGCGCGGTAGCACTTTCAGCAACCAGGGCACCATCACCGCGATGTTGAGCCGCTTCGCCTTATCGGCGACACTCTTATTCTTCTCGAGGATGTCGAGCACACGCGTGTCCTTCATGCTCATCGTCTCGCCGGCCACGATGCCCCAGATGATGTTGACCACGGCCAGATCCAGGCTGTGGTCAATCGTCAGGGGCTGGCCCTCACTCGGAGCCACTACGTGCTCCAGGAACGCATCCACCTGCTCTCGAATCACATCCTCCAGGCGGGCCTTGCCCATGCCGAAGTTGCGCAGATGGAAGAGCGTGAAGCGACGTCGCACGTGCCAGTCCTCGCCGACAGAGAAGATGAGCCCACGTTGGACACCGAGCATTTCGAGAACGGGGCCGGCCATCCGACCCGTGGAGGCCGGCTTGTTGAAGGCCTCTCTCAGCAAGGCAGGGTCGGAGATGACAACCATAAGGTCAGAACCCATCTTGACACTGTACAGAGGGCCATACTGGCGCTGCCACTCCACAAAGGCCTTCTCCGGGTGGTTCTGGTTCATGGCGAACGCGCGTCCCACCAGCGGGATGTTGACGGGACCTGTGGGGATGAAAAGATAGGAGTGATCAACGGCGCCACACAACGCGTTTGTGCGAGAATGAGCGAGCAAAATATTGAACTCCTTCACTGGTTCATGCATGATCGTTGTGCGATCGTAGCAAGGTGTCGTGTAGTTAAGCATTATGAATTTGATGTACCAAGTTCATAGGGTTAATTAAGCATCAGTTCATGGATGACCGTAGGGTACTTTGATACAACAAAGCCTTTGACAGCAGGTAACAAGCGCTAACAATCGGATCGCCAACGTATGCACGCCAGCTTGACGACCTAACGTGCCACGTACCGGCGATCACCCAATGCACTGTATCCTGGGACCAGCTTTGCGGCTTTGGCACTCACCGGGCGGGCAATTCTTGGGTTTCTTGTTCTTATAGAGCACCCATGCCACCACCAGCAGGATGATCAGCACCACCGTCAACATGACTTCCTCCTCAAACGGCGTGTGACCACACCACCAGCGCCCTCGACGAACGACGAACCCACACTGCTACCCCGCCCACTAAACCGACCTGACCGACGGCGCAAACAAACATGAGAGGCCGCTGACGACACCGGCCGAGAGCCGACCAATCAGAGGGTAGATAGGCGCGCTCCGCCGCCGGACCCAAGGTCGTCCTGGGAAGGGGGAGGGGAGGGTGACGAAGCGGTTTTGGCGGTCCGAGTGCAGAGATGCGTGCGCGGAGATTACGTGTGAGACCGTGCTCATGACGCTTGCCGTAGGTTGGAGTTTCCAAAGGTCAGACAGGTAAATGCAGAGGTGTGACTTGGCGGTCAGAAATTCAATTGTACATACTAGGTCAAAATCTATTCCATTATATCCCATCGCAGAGTGTTCATCTGGCCGAGCCGAAATCGTGGTCAATTGGAACATAAAACTTTCATCTCTAATGTCGATGGGCACGGCTCTCGTGTCTCGTGCCTCGGACTCTCGTGTCACGACTATCTCAATCTACAAAAAAAAGAAACCTGAAGGACCACGATATCTTATACGAACGGCGGCTTCAAAAGTCTCGTCGTGCCCATTTTCATCAGCTCTCCAAATGACACTTCGACCATGCTGATTTCACTCAGGAAACACGCTATCAGACGGCACGAGACACTAATACCATGAATACACGTCGATTTGAGTACGCAAGTACGATCGACGTGGCATAAGGCGGGTCGTAGGCTGTCTCACGAAATACGGCCGACGCCTGACGCAACGTGTCAGATTGACCCGAAGCGCCGTGAATGAACGACAAATAGCGAGACTCGAGAGCGCGAAACAAACTGGGTGGATATTAACTAACATGATCAAATAATGGATAGTATTATATGGTTATGATAATTTTTGTTCAGTGTATGAAATGTGAGACTTGCTTTAGCTGCCGGCTCACAAGCGTAAATAATGCAAACTTCAAATAAGGAAACATAAATCATTCACGAATTGTTATTGGCATCCGAAACTGTATCACAACGGCTCAATGTTACGGCACAACGGCAAAGAACAAACTCGCGAATCTATGCTGGAATCCCTCAAATGTACGTAAGTACCATAGCCCAAGTATGAAATGCATACAAACTTTTGCACAATATCGTACATTCCAAGAAGCGTAATGTTGTGGAGTTGTGGTCCAGCTGATCAGTGATCACGGATCAGTGCTGTGCGTAAAGCCGCTAATCAAACACCTTGCAACGATAAGCCCGAAAGATGGAGTAGAAAATCCATCCTGTTTTATCGTACAAACATGGACTAAGCCAAATGAACTTACAAAACGTGCCATGATATAGAAAACATTCGTATTTCGCATATCACCGTACCACCTTGTGTCGCCAACAACCAACCTGTCCCCCCTCAAATATAAAAATCACTTTCCTAGCAGGCGCCTCCCGCCTGTGCCGATTCTTCACTCTCTCCCTCGCTCTGCCCACTCTCTCCATCCATCAGCACCAGCATCAGGGCGGCCACCGTCCTCACATTAACACTGTTCCCCACCAGCTTGTACCGCTGTCGGTCCGTCAGCTCGGCCGGGAACGAAAACCACTCCGGATAGCACATCAGCCGGGCCGCCTCTTGGGGCGAGAACCAGCGCAGCTGCAGCGGCCGCAGCCGGTCGGCCCGCGCCGGGTCGCCAGGGGGCAGCAGACGCGCGACGGCAAACGCGGCGTCTAGTGCGCCACTCTCGCCACCGTCACCGCCACCTCCCTCGCTGTTGTTGTCGGGTAACAGTACCGACCCTGCCCCTTCCACTAGATGTCCATAACCACTGGTGAGGCAGCAAGAGCGGCGGCTGCTCGGTCGGACAATGTCGAGCAGTTCACCGTAGCGACAGAGCACTTTGTCGGGTAGCAGTAGCCGACTGGTATCCGAGGGAGCCACGTCTGCCAGAAACTGGCCCAGAGTGGGCGGTAGTAGACCACCTGCGGAGAGACGCAGGTCAGATTTTGGTCACACTTCTGGAAACATAAGTCACACATCGGGAAAGCGAGGTCACATCGGGAGATGAAGATCACATATCAGGAAACGGAGGTCACGCCAAAAACCGTTCACATAACGAAGATACACATCGGGAAATGGATGTCAAACATCAGGAAACGGAGATCGTATACCGGGAAACGAATGTCGCACATCGACGTACTGTCGTGCTGTGTATGGGGTGGAGAGGGAAAGCACGCTGGGTTCGTTGACCTAAGCAGGTTCCGGATATCGAGATTGCGCATCGCTGCATATGAAATCGCAACGGACAGCGGCTATGCAGGAAACTGTTAACGGATTTAATACTGAGCTTCGCGTACAAGAAGGTTAGAATACTAACCTGAAACCACTTAAGGGCAACACAAAAAAACATCGTATCGTAGGCAGTATCGTAGGCCTCATCTTAAATGGAATCAGTGTCCTCGAATCAATGATGTTATGACAAGAATTATAACAAGGTTTCCGTACCTGCGCTGTCGTCGTGAGAGTCCCACTTCCCGGACATATATTCAGAAAGTCTGTCCAGAACTGGTTTGTTGCAGCTGTTGCAGGCAGAATCTGAGTTATTGGTGTGACCGCAAGTACAAAACGGCAACTCTTCTAGAACCTGTGAAACACGAAACATCGGGGATTTATCGGTATGCAAGATAACAGGCTAAAGCGAGAGTGCGAAAGGACAAAGGCGAAAGGAAGCAGGGATATACACGTGTGAACCGAAAACGTTTCTGAGAAATGGAATATTTTTACGATGGAGTGACATATATCAAAATTAGAAACCAATGATAAAGGATGGGAGTATTTTAAAGTATTTTGCTTATTTGGTCGCAAATCTTTTGCTAAGCCTAGTCATTAGCCAACAATGTTCACTGGCATGCCTAATTTCTATAAGACTGGGTAGTGGGTACGGAGAATAAGTCTTTAACGATCACTAAAACCAATACGAATTTAAAATGCATTTCCTGTTTATAACTAAAAATCCGTTCATAGTTACTTTGAGGATTCTAATCGAGACAAAGAACACGTCCGTCACCTTGCCCATCTCTATAACGCAACAACTCTACAGTCTGAGCCCCACCCACCCACCACCTGGTATCACTGACCTGGCCCTCGGGCGGCTGTTCAAATGTGAACGGTCGTCGGCGCGCCAGCAGATAGTAGCGAGACCGTGAGTTGGGCACTCCGAGCTGGGAGGGTGTCAGCAGCAGCTCGCGCCAGTGCAGGCCGAGCTGGCGCAGTGTGGTGATGAGAGCATCTCGTGCAGCAGACCGCTCGAAGCCGCGCACGTTCTCCAGAAGGATGTAGCGCGGAGGTCGGCGCAGACGAGGTAGAACGTCCAGCACGTGCAGGAAGGAGACGGTCCGCGCGTCACTGGTGTCGCCCTGCAGACCGAGTCTGAAACATGGAGAGGAAAGAGTAATTAGTGGTGGGTATGGCTCTAGAGAAGCGGGTGTCCTTTCATTAGCCTGCTGTCTGTATTTACCTGGTCTAAGTTTCTCTCGTAAATTGTAACTCTTTCTTGATTCCCTCGTAAATTGTAACTCTTTCTTGAAATAAAAGGAACATCGTGAAAGCAACGCATCCACAGTCTGAAACTCTCGAAATATCTTTCATGATTTCCTTAGCATGCACAAAATTGTAAAGAGCCTAGATTTCAATAGACGACAGACACGTGCGCACGTGCAGGCTGACGCTTCCAGGTCTCAAGAACGGCCGGGCCGATTGCACTCAAATTCGGTACACTTCTAGAGACCGATCAGAAGGGTGCCGTGCACAAGTCAGTTAGTATGTATTTGCATGTGTCACGGTTTGATTGCAACTGCACGTGCGCACGTGTAGGGGTCGCTTCCAGATCTCGGAAACGGCTGGGCCGATTCATATTAAATTCGGTACACCGCTAGAGACCGGCGAAAAGGGTGCCGTGCAAAAGTCAATTGGGACCCAGCTTGCACGTGCGCACGTGCAGGGTGCCGCTTCGAGATCTCGAAAACGGCCGGGTCGATTGCACTCAAATTTGGCACACCGCTAGAGACCGGTTAGTAGAGTGCAGTGCACGTCAGTTCGTAGCACACCTACTCCGGTCTGCACGTGCAAGGCTCATCCTCTCGTTTGGCGGCGGGCGTTTTTGCGGCGTTACAGTGGTGCTTGCTCAAACAACCTGCGGTCCCGCGATGCGGAGCCCAGCATCGCAGATGCTGGTAGACGACAGATGGTCAGGCCATAGTCCATGCAACATATTATTACATCTGAGCCACGTAATAAAATATTATTGTTACAATACAATAGCGGTGATAATCGTTGGATAACGCCGAATCCCAACAATCAGTCATGGCTGCTAAACTCGATGATCTACCTAACAATGCAAGCATTGAACGAGTCTGGAATAAATAATTCAGACAGGCTTTTCGACAAAATACCTACACGGTTGGAAATCAGCTAGGCCGTCCGATTTGCTTGTCAGTTGATTTGTGACGACTGTTTACAACTTCATCTCTTCGGACAAGAATGGTATATGATAGCTTCCGACTAAAAATTGGCATCAAACTGTTCCTTTACACATAATGTCGATGTCACAGATGTCGCTGATAACATCGCTATTGCATCGTTTATGTATAGATGCCAATAAAACACAGAATAATGCGATACAAGAGAAACATTAGCATCGCTAGCAGAAGCAAACTGATGGCCACCATTAGCTACGAAGAAGTGCCACGCTGAAAGTTCGCCGGCAGGTCTGTGGTACCGGAAGAGCCTCCTGCCGTGAACATGTCTCCAGCTCGACGTTACGAGAGGAACTGGACGACAGAATCGTCACTTTTGTAAGAAATATGGGGATGTGTCGTTGTTTTCAGCGGTAAGGGGGATGTGCGTTCTTTTCTAAGAGCAAGAAGTGGACCGATTCTTTCCTCCCAAGTGTGACCTGAGGTTAATGGTTTGCGATAAATAGCCATTCAACATAATATGTTCGCGCTTTGGAACGTTAAGCCTTTCATATTTAAAAAGGTCACGATAACAGCTTTTCGTCGTCACTGACTACAAAGCAAAAAATTAAACTATGAATATCAGCAGAGAACAATCGCCTGAAGAGTGAAGATTCCAGCTCGATTGCCTACTTGGCCACCCAAGTACCAGCAATCGCCAGATCATTGAACCACCTTTCTCCCCATCCACGTAAGGCGCATAACGCACCAGCCAAGAACACGTGTGAGCTCCCAACCAATACTACATATGTAATCCTAGCGAGAAATCAAACGCGCCGGAGCCGGCGGAACACAGCGGTTTGCGCGTGACCCACGCGTTTGACCGCTGTTCTGAGGGGATTAACGCGCCCCGCCTGACGGGCCGATGCTCCATCCATCATGCGTACGGACCGGTTATCCTGCGCCGCCGTCCGGTCTGGCACACGTGTGTGACGCACGTGCGTACCGGTCGGCCACCGCCGACGGCGCGTCGGCCGGTATATAACCGGCGAGCGGCGCTCAGAAGTCGAGCCAGCTCCACAGCAGCAGCACAGCTCCCACTGCCCCCGGTCCACCTCTCCGGCCACAGACACCTCACCATGATCTTCCGCAGCGCAGTTCTCCTCATGGCCGTCTCCGCCGCAGCCGCGTATTACGGCAAAAAGCCGACCGAATTCGTCCCCCAGACGTGCAACAAACAGTGCGGCGCCAACGAGGTCTGCGAGGTACAAGTCTGCCACGTGTGCGTTCCAGAGCCTCCCTCGTGCAAAAACCTGCAGTGTAAGGACACGGAGTTCTGCGAGGACACGCCTACCGGCCCTGTGTGCCGGCGCAAGACGTGCGCCCACATCAAGTGCGCGGCAGGCGAGGAGTGTAAGGACACCGCTGACGGGCCCGACTGCGTGCCCGACGTCCCCTCCTGCGAGGGCTTCTTCTGCCGGCGCGGCACCAACTGCTACATTCGTGGCGGCTCGCCCATCTGTCTGCCCAACACCTGCGAGGTGCGCGAGTGTCAGCACGGTCTGACCTGCATCGACACGCCCAGCGGCGCCCTCTGCAGGCGCGGGAAGAAGACCAAGGGCTGCGGCAAAAAGTACTGCCCGCCCAACACCATGTGCGAGAACGGTGACGACGGTCCCACCTGCAAGATCATCTAAACTACAGGGATAACAGAGTGATTCAGTCAACTCAGGCAACAAAACGTGAACCTACCTACTCCGTTCCATGACAGGACCAGACCAAGATCAGTAAGTCATCAAAATTCAGATGCAATTCTTACGCAGCGACAAAACGCAACAGCGTGAGCTCGGGGCAGCCAGGACATGCAAGAAAATCTACTAACTGCAGGCTCGTTTTTCTAGTTCGATTCGCCTTTAGCAACATGCTTTAAAATTTCCGATCAAAATCGCGATCTCATATAATTATCAAGCGACTAGTGTGTACTTGCCGATGTTATTTATTACTTCGCAGTTGACGCTCGCACTTGAGTTACGTCAGCCGTCGATTATCTCTCGACATGACAAAAGCTTGTGCCTGTCTCATTTGTGTTTTTTATATGTGATGGTACAACACTGAATATACCAGCGTTGAAAACATTGTAACCGCGTTTCGTCAACTACCAACTACTATCAATAGAGAAGGACAGTTAGGATTGCCCCAGTGATGTATTGCAGCAGTAGTCCATTCATTTGTCACGTAAAAGCTGCAACAAACACGCACAGATCACGCACCGTCAGTCACATGAAGCTCATGCAGTGCTCATGCACGATTCATGCACGACAGCCCTGCGCAAGAAGCTATGCGGACAAGACAATCGAGCAAGCATTCTAGCGATTTGTTTGACAGTGCATTATTCACAAGCAATCATTCACATTTTGTACTGTCTGGCGTCTGCTGAACATTCTGTTGTGATCAGTGTCAATTCAAAGTAGTGGCCAGCTCATTAGAAAACAAATGACTCCATAGCGTAGCCACAGTTGACCGCAGACATTTAACACATAAACGTATGGATACGTACTTCGTTTGCAAGATGAAGGAGTTCAATGGTCCACAATACGCCTGTCATCAATGAACAATTACTTTAGCACGTTTGCACTGTAAGAGAAGGCAAAACATGTGTGAGCAAACCCGGCAGCCACGATTGCAACACAAAGCAAACGTCCCAACATCCCATGCAGTGCAAATTCCGCAGGCAGACATGCACAGGTAAGTGTTGCACATTCGCATGCCCTAAGCAATAAACTGAACTGGCACCTCCTATTCCTTCAATTCCCCCTCTCGGCGGTAACATGGCTCCCCAAAATCCGGTGAGGATTTTATGATCCTGAGAACAAATCCCGGATGCACAGAGGCGCACTTAACAAACTTAAAGATAACTTCCGCAAACACCCCATCACAGCTGAGTTCTTTGCAGCCGCTCCGCCGGGTGCCGCAATCACTGGCCGCGTTGTCTCAGCACTCGCCCAAAGTCCGCGCAAAAACCGCAACGGCCGATTCGACGAACCACTCTGTTCCAGCTCCGTCGAAGATCGCGAGCTGAAATCTCCAGCCCCGCTGCTCGACTCACTGACTCCCCGACTGGGAATCACACTGCCCACGTCTCATGAGAGAAATGAGACGGTGCACGGGGCGGTCATACTCCTGACCGTTTACACGCACTCGCACCCTTCGCACAAGTCCGTCCGTAGCCGGGTACGTCGCCACAACCAGGCCTAGTGGCCAGGCGCCTCGCGGTTGGCTGTCATCAACCATGATGACAACGTCGTCCTCCTGCAGGTTGTGTTCTGGCCGCTGCCATTTCCGCCTCTCCTGCAGAGACGGCAGGAACTCGCGTCGCCACCGCGTCCAGAATTCGGTGGCGAGGTGCTGTACTCTCCTCCACCGTCGTCGCCCATACAGGTCCGCGGAGCAGAACATCCCAGGGGCAGGAAGGACGACCTTTGATTTTAGGGTGAGGAGTTGGAGAGGTGTCAATGGCTCCACAGTATCACTACTGGACATGCTACAGTAGGTCAAGGGCCTGCTGTTGATGATGGCTTCAGCCTCGGCGAAAAGAGTTTGCAGAAGTTCGTCGTCGAGCTGTTGACCATTAGCGCTCAGCAGACTGGTCAGCGCCGTTCTCGCCGTTCGGATTTGGCGTTCCCAAACGCCTCCCATATGGCTCGCATATGGCACATTGAATGCGAACTCCACCCAGTCGCAGTTGTCTTTACTGAGTGTCTGAGCGATTCGCTTGTGATCCTCTTCTTTCAGAGCGCTCTCCAACAGGTTCTTCCCACCAATGAAGTTAGTTCCATTGTCGCAGTATATACGCCTGATGGGACCTCTCCTGCAGATAAAACGACGATATGCGTTGATGAATGAGTCAGCGGTCAGAGAACTGATCACTTCCAGGTGAGCAGCTCGGGAAGCGAAACAGGTAAACATCAGACCCCATCTCTTTACTTCACTGCGCTTCTCTCGTACGAAGAACGGGCCAAACGCGTCCACGCCACAGAACTCGAAAGGCTCCGACATTTCCGTTCGCTCAGTTGGCAAATCCGCCATCTTCTGGCCACAAGGACTTCCTCTGATCCTTCGGCACTGGATGCACCCCAAAATGCACTTCGAGACCACTGACCTTCCATGGAGTATCCAATATCCACGGTGCCGGATCTCACTGAGAGTCGATTCACGTCCTGCGTGGTGCAGTTCTTCGTGAGCATTGTAGACAATCAGCTTCGTGACTTGACCTTCCTTCGGCAAGATCACTGGATGGATGACTTCAAAGGGCAGACTACTCCTCCTGAGACGTCCCCCAGCGCGCAGCAGTCCATCGTCCGCAACGAACGGATTCAACCGCTTCAGGGAGCTGGTACCGTCTGCTGTCACTCCAGAAGTCATCTTCGTTGCGTCAGTTTTCATTTCCTTCACAAAACACTCTTCCTGTACTGCTCTCAGGATGACTTTCTCGGCCTCTTGCATCTCCTTCACACTGACTGGATCTGATTCTCTTCTCGGTCCACTCGGTGAACATTTCTCCGACTTGCCGCCACTCTTGGACCTGATCCTCTCCAAGAGGAGCGTTCTGTAGCGAAGACAAAGGGCCACTGATCTCTTCGCCCGATACCAGCTCGAGAAGTACGACAGTCTTGAAGACATCGTACCATACGACTTCGGCAGCTGTCCTGTACTAGTTCCGCTTTGGAATGCCGCCGCCTTGACTTCCCGATCATCTGCGGGCACCTCGACAATGATTTCACCACCCGGAAGACTTCCGGGCTGTTTCAGGAAGGAGGGGCCCTCCCACCATAGGGTGCTCGTCTTGAGACTGTCGGCCCGCATCCCGCGTGAGACTAGGTCGGCAGGGTTGTCCGCTGACTGGACATACCTCCACTGTCGGGCTGACGAGAACTGTCTGATCTCTTGCACTCTGTTAGCCACGTAGACGTGGAACCGTTTGCTTTCGTTTTGAACGTAACCCAACACGGCCAAACTATCTGTCCAGAAGTGTTCGGTGAGGTTTGGCAGACAGAGCTCACTTCGCAGGAAGACACTTGTCCTCACTGCTACCACAGCTGCAGCCAGCTCCAGTCTTGGGATTGTCACTGACTTCTTCGGTGTGACACGACTCTTGCTCATGACCAGTGACGTTGTAACTGATCCATCTTGATCTATGATACGCAAGTAACTGCATGCTCCATATCCATCTAGGCTTGCGTCCGAGAAGTGGTGCAGTTCACATCTGCAGTCCGCCAGGCTGTGCTCAGAGAAGGCGTACCTTCTTGGAATAGAGATGTCTGCGATCTGCTTCAGGTCCGTCTTCCATTCCTCCCACGGGGGCTCGACGTGGTCCGGAACAGGCTCATCCCAGTCACGCCCGTCACAGCACAGTTGCTTCACAATGTTCTTTCCTAGAAGTGTGAATGGGGCCACCCAGCCGAGTGGGTCATACAGGGAGCTGACCATGGAGAGGATTCCTCTCCTGGTTGTCGGCTTCACTGAGATGTCCGTATTTATGTGGAACGAGTCTTCTTGAAGATTCCATTTCATGCCGAGTGCGTGTTCAATGACAGTCCTTTCAGAGATGTCCACGTGCTCCAAGGACTTTGCACGCCGGCTCTCGGGAACACTTGCCACCACCTCGGGACAGTTGGATGTGAACTTATGCAGCTCAAAACCTCCACTCGAGCACATGCTGATCGTGTCCTTGACCAGCTGCACACTTGACTTCTCTTCGGTAGTCGACGTCAGACCATCATCCACATAGAAATCTCTTCTGATGAAGTCTGCCGCGTCAGATCCAAACACTTCTTCGTACTGGTCGGCTGTCTTGTTCAGGGCACTCATGGCGCACGCCGGCGAAGATGAAGCGCCGAACAGATGTGTCGTCATCCGGTACTCGGATGGCTCTCGCCGCATGTCGCCGTTCTCCCACCATAGAAACCTTATCAGGTCTCTGTCTTCGGGGGCTACCCTGACTTGGTTGAACATGCCCTTCACGTCACATGTGATACCGATGCGCTCCTTTCGAAACCGAGTCAGGATGCCGCACAGGTTGTTGGACACATCGGGCCCTTGCATGAGCTGGTTGTTCAGGGAACATCCCTGGAATTCTCCACTGCAATCAAACACTACGCGCAGCTTCTGTTTGGTTTGACTGTACACTCCGTGGTGAGCGACATACCATACCTTCCCGTCGTCACGGCATCGCTCGTCATCCGGAACAGCTTCAGCGTAGCCTTTATCGAGCATATCCTGCATGTATGCTTGATACTCTTCTTTCAAGCGCGGCTGCGATAGCAAGCGTCTCCTGAGGGAAGCAAGACGCTGCTCTGCCATGATCCGGTTGTTCGGGAACTGAGAGTCCGGGTCTTTCAGCGGCAGCGGTGCTACGAAGTGTCCATCTTCTCCCTGCACCATCTGCTCTTTCATCAACGTCTCGAACCTCATGTCCTCTTGTGACATCTTGGCACCCTTTGAGACCTCCTTGAAGTCACTATCGAAGAGATGTGATACTTGTTCTGGAGTAACTTCTCTCACTTGCATCCTGAAGGCAAAGTGTCGCCTGATAGTGACGTCACTACCCACGTTGACGAGGTAGCAGCCTGAAGAGGGCGTCGTCGGTGTCTCGACCGTGCCCACAACAGACCACCCCAGTTCAGTGCGAACTGCCCAGGGTTCGTTGTCTCCACCTGTGACTGTTTGCAGAGGCTTGATGGCTGCACCACAGTTCAACCCCAACAGCAGACCGATGTCAGCCTCTTCATAGTACCTCGGTAGGCTCGATGCCACTTCTGTGAGATGCTCCCAAGCCTGAACTGTTGACTTCCTTGGGATCAGCTGTCGATCAAGAAGAATGTCATCCCGTGTGTACGTGGTTGGTAGTTCAATCTCGGTGCCTGTGCTCAGGGATTCGATGACCAGGTCCTTTACAGCCAGTGACTCCAGCCTTGACTTGCCGGCCATCGTGCTTAGCTCCAACTGTATCGGTTCACCGTCAGCTTGCAGAGAGTCCCGAACGCTGCTCTTCAGGAAGCACGCGTCCGACTGTGAATCCAAAACTGCATACGTCACCAGGTTCAACTCCGGATGAAGTCTGTGCCAGATCCTGACGGGTACGATCATCGAATGTGAGCAGGGTGTCGTCCCTCGTTCGGCTGTCACCTGCAGTGACGTTGCAGTCTGAGTAGATCCATCGTGGACCGATCTCTTCTCTTGTGTCTCCCTGTGCACGGAGGCCAGTCGTTCGTCGTGCAGCAGGGTCGGGTGTCGTTTGCCGCATCTGTCACAGGTCTCCTTGCGCCTACATTCACGCCAGCGATGGCCAGCTCGAAGACAACCGCGACAGAGACGATATCTCTTTACCAGCTCGTGACGTTCATCTAACGAGCTAGATCTGAAGACATCACAAAGTCCAGTGATGTGTCGTCCTGGACACAACAAGCACTTGATAGGCGTCGGATCCAGTGAGCCTCCAGTGTGTCCGCTACGTAGTTCAGTTGCCGGCCTGGGGGCGCCTGCTGATGACAGGAAGGTCCTGACTCTACCATTAGCGGGTTGTGTTTGCGGGCGACGCTGGCTCCGCGTCTCTTCCTGGGTCGCCAGCATCGCCACGGGGCCCGAGGCGATTCTTGCTTCTCTTGCAAGAAATGTGACAAATTCATCGAACGATGGGTAACACGGTTCTTGGCCAGGCTCTGGCTCGTAGATTTTCTTGTCCACGATCCTTTTCCACTTATCGACGATGTACCTCGGCAGCTTCTTCAAGATCATTGCATTCTCTTCTGCTTCGCCTAGCGTTCTCATGCCTGGCACGACATCAGCAGTAGCAGAACACCCATCTAGAAAGTCAGCCAGCTGTTGCAGGGCCTTGGTGTCGCCCGGTTTGATCACAGGCCAGTCCCTCAGTCTTTTCTTGTAGCTTGTGACGGTAATGAAGCTGTTCCCATATCGCTCGATGAGGCGTGCCTTCGCTCGGTCATACGCGTCGTTGGTCCTGAGGCACAGCAGTCCGTGTATCGCACTCCTCGCTTCTCCGGCCGTGTAACGAGACATGTAGTTCAGCCGTTCAACTGGAGACTCGGTCTTGCTTTCAATGAAGGACTCAAACGACTTTAACCAAAGCGGAAAGTCTTCAACGTTGCCCTTGAAAACGTCTGGCTCCAGCTTAGGGAGATCACTTCTTTTGTTCTGAGCTGACAACAGCGTTGACAGACCCGTCAGCAGTTGTTCTTGAGATGTCATCTCAGCGTTTCCTTGCGGATCACCGACTGCGTCCAACGGAACTCTTGTTGAGCGACTGATACCGAGGCCAGCTGTGTCGATGGTTGGACCTTCAGTTTCTTGATAGTTTCTCAGTGTTGCGGCTTCATGCATAGCAGCAGGAGCTTGCTGATGTTCGACACACATGCGAGGTCTTGCTCCTGTTTCCATAACAAACATCTCTTCTTCTTCCTCTGCAATCCGGTTTGCAGCTTCCCTCTGTGCTGCACTGACTTCAATTTGTGTCTTCAGCCGAAGCTCTTCTTCTTTCCATTCGAGTTCCTGTCTCATTTGGTCCAGTTTCCTCCTACTCTGGAGAGCAGCCATCTTCGCTTCCGCTTCAGCTCGCTGACGCTCATCCTGAAGGCGGGTTTCGAGCAGCTTAGCACGAAACGAGCTTGCAGTGCTCTTTCGAGATGCAGCGCTTTTGTTGTCATCATCGCGTTCAATCCTGAGGTCGGTTTGAGGCGTCTCTTGCGTCACACCCTGTCCTCCAACTGCACCAGGTGCAGCACTTGAATACGGGCGGCAGAGAAGCCCTCTTGGATCTTGTTGTCTTAGAAGACCAAGAATCACTTTCATTTCTTCCAGTTGCTGGCCATGTTTCTTGTCATGTTGGAGTCTGTCTTCAGGATCCAGCAGTTCTTGGAGTTCCTGTTCAATCTGTAGGAACTCCTGATGGCAAAGCATCCATTTGTCCAGAAGTTCCTGACTGATATCGTCTGCTATTTCCATACCATCTTCAGTCAGTATGCGCACTGACAGCTTGTTAAGCTCCTTGCAGTATCTGTTATATGCCTGTGTCTTGATACCACATTGGTATTCTCTGCCAGCTTCAGTCATCTTCTTTCCTCTTGTTGGTCGTGACCCTTCACATACAGTTGTCTTCTTCTCTTGCACTTGAACCCTCTGTTGATCCATCTTGTCTTCAATTCTCCTCTTCAGTGATACCAATGACAAGGATGGGACATTACATTGGACAGAAGGTAAGCTTGTTCAGCTTGTGTTCATTGAGTGACTGGAAAAGGAAGCAGCAAACGAACTTTTACTGTAACCGCGTTTCGTCAACTACCAACTACTATCAATAGAGAAGGACAGTTAGGATTGCCCCAGTGATGTATTGCAGCAGTAGTCCATTCATTTGTCACGTAAAAGCTGCAACAAACACGCACAGATCACGCACCGTCAGTCACATGAAGCTCATGCAGTGCTCATGCACGATTCATGCACGACAGCCCTGCGCAAGAAGCTATGCGGACAAGACAATCGAGCAAGCATTCTAGCGATTTGTTTGACAGTGCATTATTCACAAGCAATCATTCACATTTTGTACTGTCTGGCGTCTGCTGAACATTCTGTTGTGATCAGTGTCAATTCAAAGTAGTGGCCAGCTCATTAGAAAACAAATGACTCCATAGCGTAGCCACAGTTGACCGCAGACATTTAACACATAAACGTATGGATACGTACTTCGTTTGCAAGATGAAGGAGTTCAATGGTCCACAATACGCCTGTCATCAATGAACAATTACTTTAGCACGTTTGCACTGTAAGAGAAGGCAAAACATGTGTGAGCAAACCCGGCAGCCACGATTGCAACACAAAGCAAACGTCCCAACATCCCATGCAGTGCAAATTCCGCAGGCAGACATGCACAGGTAAGTGTTGCACATTCGCATGCCCTAAGCAATAAACTGAACTGGCACCTCCTATTCCTTCAATTCCCCCTCTCGGCGGTAACAAACATGAACACCAATTAAGAACACAAAAGTAAAACTCAGCTGTGTTTCTCGCACACCTCACCTGGAGAAGGGCTGACATGGCGGGCTCATGGTGATGACATCGGGCCGCAGTTTGTCCAGCTCGGCGGCGCTGAACGACTGAATGTTCCGCTGCAGGTGGCGCGTGCTCGGAAAGTTGTGCCGGTACACGCTGTTGGCCGTCGTGTTGATGTCGACTGCCGCCACCACCTCCAGAGGAACGCCGCAGTCTGGTGGACACGTGCAGCAAGTGCTGTTAGGTGCGGGAACTGACCAGAAACGGGGTAGTTGGGTATCATAGCAGAACACAGTCTTCAGGACACGTTATGGTCCGGTGCAAGTGGCTGGATACGGTGAAGCAGGGCACGCAATATATTAACATATGGGCGTACCTACAATAAGGCTGAATGCCGTTTGTTCATCGTTATAACCCATGCTACAAAGCGTCGTTTCTCCGATGACTTTTACTCGTAAGTTAGAAAGAAATCCACAAAAAACTGATTCAGTTAAATATAGTACATAACACAGGCAAATGACCTTTGGTCTTTGAATCCTTCAGCCATCACCAGTTTGACCTTTACTTGGGTGTGGGGGAAGGGAGGGGGGGGGGGGGTGTCACTGCTACCTTCCTGTGGGTTAGTGCAAATTGTTGTGGGTAAGCAGATTGTAAGTGGAAAGGTTGGTCAGTGTTGCCGTGACTTCCCCTGGATTCGTTTACATACGCCAGCGCAATGCCAACGACACTGAAGTGTTTAGACAGGACCGACGGAAATGAGTACAGGGTAGGCCAGAAAGATTTACCTGCTTGTTTTCAGTCCATAACTCGAAAAGTTATGAACGGATTTTAATAAAAAACCAGCACCAGCAGGCACGCTAGGCACAAAGTTCTGGAGATGCTAAGGGCTGATGTCTGCCCAGGTCTACCTAAGTGCCTTTTCGAGCTGTCCCGGGTCGCTGAGTGGTTGTCTTGTCAAGCTCCTGCTGCACGACTCTTTGAGGTAATGTGATTAGACTTAGGTTAGACCTGTTCCCTAGCCATGTGTCCTTCGCCAAGATATCGGATAGATGCTCTTGGCGCCACCTCTAAGTTCTGGCAGACCGATGGGCAGGAGCACCGTCCTGCATGAAAAGGCTGGCTGACCTGAGTTTCCGTTAATTTTGCTCCTACACGAGTTTTATGGGCTATGAATACGAGTGTGTCCCTCCAACACTGACGGAAAATTGTCCCAGACACCGGATGATTCTATTAAGTTTACCTATTAGCCATCCTTTTTCAAGAGTGCTCGGATTTCCTAGGTGATTTCGTCATAACGATTTTGGTGGCGGTTGAATGCGGAAGAGCCGTCCTAATTGGGGTCTACATCTGATGCTCTCCTTCTACTTAAACTTTTTCCACCAGCGCTTAATGGTAAGAACTAGTACTCTGAAGTGTCAGGCAACGTCCTTCTGTGTGTTGTCAGCTTAGAAGATGCTAATTGCGCGACTACGCACATCCGAACTGTCAAGTTAGGCCCCCATGTCTAGGCCGTAATTCATGTGCCGATCGCTGGGTAGTGGGTAGTGGGTAAACAATCACCAAGGCTAGTCATCCCCCTGGGTCAAGATCAGCTGTTCAGCTAATCTCCGCCTCAGGGAAGGAGAACGCTCTAAGGAACGCGATATTTGGAAGCATAATGGAAATATGCTTAGTTATCTTGGGTAGATGTAAGATTGTAAGGTATCAAATTTATTTCAAAACTTTTGACGCACCCTATACAAAAACCATATCCAGTAGGTACCTGCCCCTGGCGATTCTTCCAGGGTGATTATTGTGCTATGTTCCATCGTCCATGGTTACCCCAATGGTGTCAACTGTCAACACCGCCATTCAGCTAAATGGCTTGACAACGTAGGTATACCCAGTAATAAAAATAAAGATATGAACATTGAACGGCTAAATGTGGAATCATCTCTTGCATGCATTTTTGCGCCTTTCGTTGGGTTAAGAGCTGTATCGTACAACAACTCTGATCGGCAAGTCATTCACAGCGGATTTGACTACTTAGCCGCGGCAGTAGCGGCGGAACACCTTCAATTAAGGGGGGGGGGGGCACTGCCGACTTTTGGTCCCATTCTTTCCATGCAATGCCCATAGGGCTAATGTTAAAATGCCAAAATAAAAGGGGGGCACGGTGCCCCGGTGCCCTCCCCGTTCCGCCGCCTATGAGCCGCGGCGAAGTGGCGGTTTTCAAGGCCTGCCATCCATCAGCCATGTGCACCTCGTCCTACCAGTTACCACCGAGCGACAACGCCAAACTCACATGAGCCGAGCGCATCTCGTTTACGAATGCTGCAAAATGCATGAACAGATTCTTTCGATGCAACATATTAGGTGCGTCTAACCTACCCGATACATCGTTCCATAAATCGTTCGGAGTTGACTGCTTGAGGCGGTGGAACGGTAATCTAGCCCTGCCATCGGCCATGCACATTTCGTGATCCTCCCATCACCTTGCTTATCTCTCACTCTACCGCCGGCGCCTCGCAGAGCCGAGCGGTGCGTGTCGTGTTGAGAACTTGCGGGCAAACCACGTGATTATGGGATCACCAGCGGTGGCATAATCCATTCTAACCACCCGAGCGGTGCGTGTCGTGTTGAGAACTTGCGGGCAAACCACGTGATGGCGATGATTATGGGACCACCAGCGGTGGCATAATCCATTCTGACCACCGCACACTCAGTTCGACCCAAGAGCACACTCAATTACATGTCGAAGCTCCGACAATATTTTTCTTCAATTTTCCTCATCTAGGTTTCTCATCTGGTCCGTCATGTTCGTCGCAAAGCCAATCCCGCGTCCCACTACACAACATTTGCACTGCACCAAGCCAAAATCCGCACCACACCACACCAAATCCGCACCAGCTGAACAAGCCTGCACAGACAAGATCTCGTCGAAAATGCCATACTTTGCAGACTGGTCCTGCGCATGGCGCATGCCAAATTGCACCAATCAATGCCCAGTTTGCTTAAAAGGTAACAATGCACACAGGGTCTCCATTTATGGAGCAGACCATTTCTATTTTTGGACACGGCACATCCATTCCTGAAACATTGTTCCAAAAATGGAAACGTTTCATAAATGGATCAGACATTGTGTGTGCCTGACTGACATCAGAAAAGTGAAAAACTTCGTGTTAAAATGATACTTAAAATATCTACATATTTCAACGAAATTATTAATTAAAGATCAACTTCACTACTCATACCACGGTCAGATAAATGAAATCCAGCCCGAGGGGTGTTCACGGGCACCGCACACTGCTGCGTGCGCTGTGTGCGGTGCGTCCAGCAGGCGTGGGGGTAGGGGATGGGTAGGCGGCTCTGACGTCACGGCTGCGTGCGGTGGACGGTCCGCTGTGGCCAGTCCCGACCGGCCACAGCGGTCGCTGTGTGCGGTGACGGAAGGCTGACGTAGGGACGCAGTGGGCGGAGCTTCGAGGTTGTGTGCGGTCCGACCGCACACAGGCCCGTGAACAGCCCTCCGCCCCGAGGGCTGAGCCTTACCTTTCATAGCCATGTGCATCCCACCCAGGCCACTGTACAACTCAAGGACATTTAGTTTCATGTTTCCACTTCAATGGTCATTGATAAAAGATATTGTTTAGTAAATTTCAGTACGTAAAAGGCGAATAAAGTCAAATAACGATCGACGGACAGCGGCCGAGACATCTTCTCACACCTCAATGTGTTTTTGTTTACAATTTAAATCCCGCATTATCACGTGTGAGCAAGGACATTGAATAATAATATACTTTGGTGCGATGACGACCGAAGATTTACCTTTTGAAAAATGCGACTTAATTTTTTTACGGTTAAACTTCAATAAATGTTCAAAACATTGTTGAAATACTAGATTTCTACTAGAAATTTGTTTTGTTCGGACAACCAGGTGCAAAAAGTTTTGAAATAAGTCTATTTCCGTCATTTATTTGTTCATTTCGTTGACGTCATTACACGATTACAAAATGATAGACAGATATAACTTTGAATCATTTTTGTCTATGCTGCGCACATTTCACTGTATGTTATTTGCTGCCATATGAAGGATTACTGCTACGATATTTCACTTTATTGTGTCGAACATGGCGATGTCGGTCGGTACTTTTGTGATCATTCCGGCGATTCGGTGGACGGTGCGTGTTGTGTGAGACGGGAAATAATTACATTAATTACATGATTAGGTAGGTAGGTCGACTCAATCACCATAAGCGCAGTTTGTTTAGCGTAGGCTGATTGTAATTGTAGAATATAATTCTTGTAATCAGAATTGCATTTTGGCTGCTGAAATTCAGAGTCGAGGCAAGGTCGATCTTCGAAGTACATAAATACCTACCTCAACCTATTGAAGTATTGATGATCTTCGAACATTTTCAATCAACATTTGCATTGACATTAAAGTTACAAAGAAATGTGAGATTCATATTCATAAGATCATGGAGGTCCATTATCATTATGGTCCATAAAAATGGACCTTGGTTTCCATTTTTCTTCCCAGAGCAAGTTCAGTAAGATATTTCCCATACGTCGTTTAATATCTATTCAGAAACTCACAATTTAATTATTGAAATCACCTTTTTAAGATTTTTATCAAAAAATCACCAGAATTGTAGGTCATCAACCCGTGACGGAAAATAGTGCAGGAAAGATCACGTGCAAATGTTTACCGCACGGCTAGGATAATGCTAAAGGGATATCTCGGCGTATGGGAACATCAAAGTATCCATCCTACACTTGCCTTCTGTTAGCATTTTGTTATACACACATATTAGATAAAGGTACTGAAATTTGTTTGTTTCATGTTAAAACATGTGTTTCAGACTTGTGGGACTTTAGAAGACAGCAAAAATGGTTCAACTAAACCTTGATGCAGTAAAGGAGCCCAAGGGCTTCATGAAGGTCCTTCAATTTGTAAGTATATTGTTTTAAATGTATGCATTTTCATTAATTTTTTAATGTATCTTCACATTACAATTATGTTGATAAGAAAAACTATATTATAAATGTGATAGGGGAGAGGCGGGAGAATTGGGACTTATTTCTCAAGTCATATCTACTGAGGTATTATTTGAAAAGTATTGATGCCAAGCTGTTTTGTGCAGCACCAATAAAAGATAGGCCATTTATCTGCAACATACCATCCTAAAAAACCGAGCTTATGCTGTGGTGTGGTTATGTGTGGAGAAAAACAAAAACACACATTTTGGGGAGGGACACCCGCAGGAGAAAAGGGACAGACACGAGGCTGAATTGGGACACATAAAAATGAGGTATTGGGACAACATTTTTATTCCGAATTATTGATCTGCCTGTGTCTATGAAATCAATTGATACGCTGGAACTTATATTCACCCTATCTGCTTCGTTAAGGCCGGGTTTGTCTTTCACGATCACGACGTTCCCATAAAATGCACAGTTTAAGACTTTTTGGTCTTCGCTTTGATGTATTTATGGTTAGGGGGCGCAGCTGCGACCCCGTCCAAAATATGAAGGTAAATACGCATCTTTTTGTTCCCTTTTACCATTTTCACCATTTGGTGTCCCAATTCTCCCACATCACCGACATATCAAATCATGTATTTTTTGTCTTTGTCAGTTACAGAGCGTGTTCATGCAAACTAGCAATCGCATAAAGACGGCGTTTAGCTAGCATTGTAACATCTTGAAAGAAGGATAGTTTGTCTTGTGCAATACACAGACAACTCAGAATAACACTCGAAAAAACAAGTTTTTTGGTGTTCAGCCAGCACAGCCCAACCGACGGACACAAAAGGGTTGCTGAGGCTTCCGATCGTTGCATGACACATCGAATCAACTGGTAAAGGCAAAAATCGTGCAAGGATGCTGCCCATTTTCTAAATATTGGCGTGTCCCTATTCTCCTGCGTCCCAATTCTCCCGCCTCTCCCCTACTTGAGAATTTGATGAAAAGGCTAAAAATGAAATGGCTTCTTTATAATTTGACTATTACTGTATGCTGTATTAATGTGTTTTAAGTGTGACTTCTATGTCTCTATGACATATGACTGCAGTACATAGTGAATGCGCACTGTGTGCACTTGCATGCCGCTGGTCCGGACGGCGGCGTTCTGTTTCTTTGTCGTTCGTGGTTCGTTCCTACACCAGGTCCCAATCCACTGTACCATTGTCGTGCTGTCGATTTCTAACTCTCGCTATCAGCCGTATCACATTTCAAACACAAGCCGTAAAGACCGGTGTAATAAGCCACAACACCGACATTGTACGGCTTCTTAAATTCGTTCCACGTCGAACCGCACTGCAAGTGCACACTGCACATCCCTATGTTTTGTCGCGTGCAATTTCCGAAAAATACTGTGCCTGTAATTTGCCAGGATTGTTTTCTGGACCGATCCCCATGCCCGTGGCCAAGCCCTGCAGGTCTTGCATGTCCTGCATGTCTTGGCGGAAGTCTGCGGGCAGTATCTGCAATATGAACGACTTTATCTGGTCTCCGGCTATTAAACATTTTAGGTCTCAGTTGCACGTTTCACGTTGCAATCGGTTTCACGCTTCATTGTCGCCGTTAACCAAATAAATCACCACAGAGTTTGAAGCAGCCTCTTCATTCCGTGCGGTATTGAGCGAAAGTCGTAAACGTTATCATCCGACCACGGCATCAAGTTGAATCGGTGGCGCACACTGTGCTGACTGTGCGGAAAGCCGAGTTCTGATAGTTGCCTATGTAAGGGCTACCATTTCAAACACGAATCCCGCTGAATAAGAAAAAAAAATCCTTTAGCTAAATGTGTTTTGCATTTTCGTGCTGATTAGAGCGTTCACGATACCTGACTACGAAAAGCAAATGTGTTCCTATAAGCCGTGTCGTCGATAATATAATCTACTATACCTACTTGTTATGCTATTTTCGTGGATGATTATTTTGACACGTAATCCTTGCACATCACTGTAACGATTCAGCCGGCCAGTCGTGTCCAATTACATTCCTTATCCGTGGAGTAGTGTGTTGTTCGTGACATTACCGGTACTCGGTGTTCGTTCGTTGTGCGCACGGTGCACACCCATTGGTGTCGTCTGAATGCTCTTACATTGTAAAAAATAAATGTTTACGAATTTCCTATTATAGTTATCCGGCCACTTTTCACTAACAAAATGCGAGTAGACTTCACTTTTCACTAAGAAAATGCGAGTAGGCTTCAAGTCTACCTACTTGCATTTTGTTAGTGAAAAGTGGCTGGATAAGTGGATAACTAGGAAATTAGTTGACATGTTTTACAGTGTAATCCTTTTGCGGCAATACAGCAGAGCTTATCATTGTTTTCCTCCCTTTCTTTGTAAGTTTGTTCAATCTCAAATGTGTGCATGTGTTTACAGTTTTGTCCGACCTTTCACTGTCATTCCTTTCCGGCAGTTTTTCGCGATTCTGGCGTTCGCGACCACTACCAGTTTCTCTACGTACTTCACATTTCACGCCAGCATCAAGCCGCCGTGCAACGACACTGGCGCTACCGTGGTGCGACAGGAGGTCAGCTACCCGTTCAGGTAGGCGACTCCGTTAAAGACAGGTAATCATACAAGGCAAACAAGACAGACGATAAAAAGACGGGATGGGTCACAGGTACACGAATGGTAGGCAAGCCAGACAGATTGGCAGGCAAGTCAGGCGGTTAGAACCGACGTACGGCGACGAATGGACGAACGGATCAGAATACCACCACCAGAACAAGTTACACGCCTCGCATGTAGACATGATGGGTTGTTGAACCGTTCACCGAAGCCAAAAGCTCGGCGTGGAAATCCATATCGTCCGGCAGTCGGCACACAATCAGTCACACTGTCAGACCGACTTTGCGCACCGACATATAATATTTACGGCCGAGAGATGCGGCACGCCCGTCCGGCCGTCCGGGCCGGTCGGGATGATTGGTTCAGCTGTCACCGCCCGGCGGTCACCCGTATCGATTGGAGTGTTGTCTGTACCGGCCCCGTCGCCCAGTTGGACCTCTGTGGCGGTCTGGCCAGCGCGCCCCGAATCGGGATCGATGCCGGGACTCGTATAACTGGAGATTTCGGGCCAGAAGCTCTGTGGAGGGCTTGGATCCGAGCGACCTACGGATCAATGATGGACGATTCGAAAACAAGCGTAGTTAGCTACTCCAGATATTTTATGAACAAAGGCACATGTTGGTTTGAACTCTAAGCTACCTACTCTTTCATAGAATCAGCGGATCGTTATTGCTTGTTTTACTTTCGTTGGCCTAAAATACCTTTGGAACTTTGTATATTCGTACGTGAACTTTCTTTATTCTTACTTGAACTTTGAATATTCGTACTTAACCCTATTAGTGGCAGGGGGTTGTTTTCATCCACCCCTCAGGTTTTTCGGGAATATCTCCGAAACCGCTGAAGCTACGATGCTGAAATTTTCTGACTTTTCCTAAAACTAAATTGGGCACATTCCCTGAAAATTTCAAGTTCATAACTTTACCAGGGGCGGCTCCAGAGCACTGGGCATTGGGGGGTCCTATTCGTGAAGCGAGTCATTTGGGCGAAGATCACGATGCTGATGTATTATGACTGTATGCACCAGTTTTACAAACAGTGAATGAAATGTATCATGTGATAACATATACAAAGTTATTGTGCATCCTCTTTTGACACGTTTTTGCTCTAATAGGCGGATCCAGGCGTCCAAAAAGGGGGGGTTATGTTTTACCTCCCAACATAGGTGCCCTGACACCGCCTATGCATGACCAATACAATTGTAGTCGTTCTCTCATAAGAAAATTGTAACATAACAAGACCATTTATACCACCCTTTTTAGAAACAGTACCAACAAAAACCTTATTAACTATACTTTTTGTGTACCCCCAATCTCAATGATCTGTATCCGCCTATGATTTTTGAAAATGCATATTTTTAGGATCCATGTGAATTCCTGGTTCATTCTCTATCGGTCGGCAAAAGTTGCGTTAAGATTGGTTCAGAAACCTGGCCGTGATAAACAGTCTAAAATGTATCTGCAATTTGCCCGTTTTTACCCCCCTCTTCCCCCTATTGACATTTTTTTAATTTTTATTTTTTAGAAATGTAGATCACGTTGAGCGAAATCGAATGCCGTTTGAATTTTGAAAATCGGCCCGTTAGATCTCGAGATATCAAGGGGGGGGGGGGGTCGTAAACAGCCCCCCCCCCCGCCACTAATAGGGGTAGCCAGGAGCCTGCTACTAATAGGGTTAAATAATAGATCAGAAAAGACATCGTTGAGCCTCTCAGTCTTTGTTACTTATGAAATAAGCTATAATTTATCCGCGCAAATACAATGGGGCATCGAATGTCGCGCCATACTCGATACTAATGGTAATGTTTATTTTATCGCCCATTTGCCGCCAGGCTGGACACCGTGATACAAGAGAAGCAGCTGTGCACCCAGCCGGCAGTCGAAGGCCGGTTCCACTTTCAGACGGACACCTCATCGGACGCCGAGTTTTTCGTGGCCATCGGCGTCATCTGCATGCTGTACTCGATGGCCGCGCTGGCCGGATACACCCTATACGGAGAGCGCTACTCGGAGAGCGACTCGCTCCCCACCGCGGTGAGTCGGTTGTTGCGCACGAGGGAGGCGTGGGTGTGGGACGGGTCCGGGTTGAGGTGGTAATTTTATGCTCATTGTACCGCGTTATATTTATGGCGTGATTCCGATCTGAATTTGTATGCATTTGCAACGTGAAGCTATTCCTTCACACTTCAAACTACGTATTTTACAACGCAATGGTAGGCAAAAAAGGAAAGAAAGGCAAAGGAAAGGCAGCTATCTTTTGGATTTACCGGAATAAATGATTTTGCTATAAACATTGACAGAAGAAAAAGGACGGTTGATATGAGGGTAAAGCAAGACTGGTTTAGAGTTCAAGTGTTTAGTAACGACGGTGTTTCAGTGACGCTCTGCGGCTTCGAGCGATATCTAATCAGTGAATCAGGGCTTGGTTCACCGGTGAGTCAGTTGTAAGATGTGGATTATGTGTAGCTGTTCCGCTATCGTAACATGATATTGTACGACATACGGACAGTGTTTAGGATGGGAAACAGCGTCTTCTGTTATTCCTCTTCCCCTAGCCAACGCATATTGCGTTCGAAGCAAAATCATTTCTGATGAAGAAGTGTCTAAATTGTTTAGTACCCTTCCGGGTCCCTGATATCTCCTCGCCCTCTGACGGTTTAAGGGGTCCATATCTCGGCGTTTTCTGACGCTCGCGATCCGGCAGGATTTCCTGCTTCACGGCCTGCTGGCCTTCCTGTGGCTGTGCGCCGCCTCGGCGTGGGCGGCCGGCGCCGGCACCCTAAAGGACGGCTGCAACCCAGAGGTCTGGATGGACCAGGTGTGCAAGGGCAACGTCACCTGCACATTCGAGAGCGGCGACTTCAAGGGCTCCTTCGGAAAGCTGAATATCTCACTGGTGAGTTGAAGCCGGCCTGGATATCTTGTCTTGAAGGAGAAACAGAGGACTTTGGATTACGATTAATGCTTACGATAGGCCGCAGTCACAAGCTTCTAAATGCCGAACTCTTGAAGAGAAAGTACATTTATACAACATTGTTCTAATGTTTTTGGGCTCATCACAGGACTTCTGTGTTGAGTTTGCTCGGCTTGCGAAAACCTGCTGTTGAAATGTGTTGCGGAAAATTCGTTAAAGCCACACTAAAGTGCTTTGTATAATTCAGGATGAGTCGTCACTTTAAAATCAGATCACAATGACCGAGCCATGTATTTCCGTCCGCTCCACAGCTGTTTGGTTTCCTGAACACGTTCCTGTGGGCGTCCAACATGTGGTTCCTCTACAAGGAGACGCCGTGGTTCCGGGGTAACCAGCAGGCCGCCCCGCCCGCCGGCGACGTCGGTAACATCTAGTGGGTCCGCCGAAGCACGGAGACGCGTCTACTCACCGACCAGCGGGGCCCGCCCGACTGGCGGGGTTCGTTTCTGGAGCGGTGCTGGGCAGTGAGAGGTGCCGTGAGGTGAGCTGTGCCCAGGAAGCTACCCGAGGCGCGCTGTGTGTTAACCGAGGGCTTACGTTTGCCGGCTGGGTGGTCGGAGGACGCGACAGTGGAGCCAAGTGACGACGAGTGGCTGGGACCGTACTAACGGTGTAGGGCTTGAGGGATGCGTCTCGTTAAAATTTGATCGGAAAATGTCCGGAAAGTGATTCATATCCACAGTCAGTCTTGTGCGCGTTATGGGATTGCCGTGTCCCCGCGCACTCAGTTCGGTTAAGTTATTATTACGAAGACAACCGCGGTGTTCGGTGGGTGTTGTGGGGTGTCGTCTAGTGCCGTGCCTGCAGTGAAAAGGTTGAAAGTGTTATTTTGTTACAGCTGAAAATTTGTGTATCGGTGTTGGCGCTCCGTGTAGATGCAATCCGTGCGCACATCTTGTGTCCGATGCCGCGCACGGAGCTTCTCATAATCGACGCGTGGTGTGTTTCAAACTTGCTGTGCGTGCCACTTCCATATTTGTGAGCTTTCGGGTTGGGTATTTTGGCTTTTCTCATGGCCAGAGTCTAGTCTGCTGGGAATCTATTCATTTCAGCAGTATCGTAATCGTCAGGATCTGTACATTGCTGCGAACAAATAGTCAACGTAGCACGATGTAACACAAGGGCTTTGCATAAACTGTAACTGCCACTGAGCGATTGTTTGTGGGCGTTGTTGTTCGTTTGGAACCGGGCTGTCCCCGCCTATGTCCCTATTCGTGGTGTGCTACGGGAAACGTCCAATAACCAGTGCCAGTGTTGAGCAAAATGTAACGCCACATTGACTATATTAGCCCGTACCTACTACTGAGTATAATAAACGCTATTTTCGTGCCAGTCATTCTTCTAGGTATTTTGCCAACCAAGCACGCCGGGAACGGGTCCTATCATAAATGTGAATGTTCTTGTAATTTATGCTTGTAATTTATACACCGTCATTTATTCTTATTGCCCCCCCCCCCTCCCCCAAAAAAGTCTGGACCTGTCCTCTGCAGATCCTGTCGGGGGTTTCAGTGATTGGAAGTACTGCCGCTTGGTGGCGACACCAGCTGGGACGTCCATCATGGGACCAGCTTGGGGCACCCTCTCGTGATGTAGCTTGTGTTTTGTACCCTCGTTCTGATTCCTGTTTGTAGGACGCTGCTGCCATACCATAACCTTCATATGTAGGTAGGTGCTACATACATCTTCCACGAGCGATCAAAAGCGAGCGGACTCGACCTCAGGGTTTGAGGCTCGAGCCAGTAGAGGTGTCAAAGCGGCCACGACCTCGAAGGCTCGGGTCGCGCTAACGGTACTTGAGTGAAGAAGCGAGGGTCGGCAACAGGCTGTACGAAAGATTGCGTTTCACGGTTCGTGGAGTAACGGAACACCAATTTGGTGTCATCCCTCATTAACCTTTGAGCTCTGCCATTAGCAGTTAGCACCGAGGTGAGTAATGCATACCGGCTAGTTTTGCAGGTTCACAGTTGTCGGGAATGTAACTATTACGATGTGCCTAGCGGTAAAGAAGTATTTTTTCTTTAAATTTAGAATTTTTTTTTTGTAATAATATCAATTTTGCTCATTAAACCAATACAAAACATATTACGATGAATATATACTACAAACGTGCTAAAAACAAAACTTGTCATTGGAAATAAAAACAATTTTTATCTAAAATTAACAACAGACCGCCAGGTGGCGCTACAACTGCAGATGCATTTAGCAGTTTTCAGCGACTGTGATTTTGCCGCGTGCGGCAAAAATGTGAATTTGCGATATTTTGCCGGTTTTACCCATCAGATTTGTTATTGAATTGATGTAGATTAATTTTCGGAACACTTGTTTGGAATTTCTTAGCTCATTTTGCTCATTTCAGCATTTTACAAAGGGAAACGTGATGAAACTGCTTTTACGGTAGGTACCTACCTATATATTGCCTCAAAGTAGATTAAAATCATGGGATGCATGTAGATGTGATTGGGTCCTGGGTCTATTTATTGTGTGTCCAATTACATAACTATTGATGAGACAGTTAATTTTAACAATTGATGAAATGCCACTAATATTCTTGTGATTTTTCAGTCATCAGTGGCCATTCTGATTCACAAAAGCATTTTAATTTAAATATTGAGCCCATCTCTTTGAACTGTGAGTTCAAATTAAAATGTGAGAAACATCCATTCATTCCAAATTTCAATGTCAGTTGTGCATTCATAAGCATGTTGATTTGAGTTGGCCTGTCCCATAGCTCAGCTGGTACAGTCTCACTACTCCCGGAAGTGAGAGCCTAGGTTTGAGGTTCAGGCCGTATGGCACTTGATATTTGAGACTCCTGACAGGGATGGTTTGAGGTTGGTGGGAGCAGCAAGCAGCTGCAGCCAGTTGAAGTCAGTTGAGCGGGACAGGCCATGTGGGCTTTAAAGGGCACTTAAACCTTTGGCATTTAAAATCCTGATATGTGGAAACATGTGATCAGATGGTAGGGGTTGGGGTATATGCAGCAAGGTCTGCTTAGCATGGATGGGTGCAAAATGACCTCGTAGTCGGCGCGCCCCTAACCCCCAACAAACAAACAAACTGCCTAGCATGGGCCCTGGCTCCATCAATCCATCCATTCAAACATTCTGATTCAGCTATTTTTTTATTGTGAATTATATTTTGCTAGTGCTAATCGTACAGGTCATTGAAATGTAAGTTAATGTAAGCTATACTTTGATATATATCAGAGTATTTATTTACCATTCAAACAAATCATTCCAAATTTTACCTATGTTTCAAATTTGAGCACGTTAGTATTTCTTTCAGCTAAAACTAGAGCTTAGTATTTTGTGGCATTATTTGAAAAAGGAAATCAGATGTAGATGCTCTCAATCCACATCCAGGAGGCAGCATATATAATTAAATGCTATTTTCTTTTCTTTTTTAATTTGACAATGGATTATCTATTTACTCAAGCAAGCTTACTGCCATATGTGCCTTCAGGCCTTATCAATGCTTCAGGCTATTGCTGATGCTTTTTGTCTTGTGGATCTAAAATTCTTGTAATTGAAAGTCCTTTCCTCCCACAGTCTGCCAGCACAACATACTCGTAGGTGCCTGTGACCGCTGCAATGGAGGCGGGGGCGCCGGCCGAGCTGGGCGAGCCGACCAGCTCTGACCCGCTGGTGGCTCAGCTGCACCGCGCCGTGCTCGCCGACCAGCCGCGCCGCGTACGCCGCGTCCTAGCGCGCGGCTGCCGCCCGGACGCCGTCAACACAGCGGGCCAGACGCCGCTGTTCTGCGCAGCATTCAGCGCGCGCCGCGCCGCCGTCGGTGAGCTGCTGCGGCGCGGCGCCGACCCCAACGCGCGCTGCGACGGCGGCTACACGGCCGTCCACGGCGCGTGCTACGCTGGCCGACTGCGCGTGCTGCGCCGACTGCTCGAGTGTGGCGGAGACCTGCGCCTGCACGACCTGGCCGGGCGGCGACCGGCCGACTGGGCGCGTCTCCAGCCGGACCCGCTGCGGCGCCGGCGCGTGCTGCAGCTGATCGAGACGGCGCGGCTGGCGGCGCTGACACCCAGCGGTCGGGACATGCTAGTGGAACGCTCCAACAGCTTTTCTGCCGGGACCGGTGGTGTGCGCACCCTACTGCGTCGGCTGATGCCTCGCGAGACCCCGCGCCGCGCCGCCGCCGCTGCCGCGGATGAGGTGGACCTCGCTGAGCTGGCTCGCTCGGTTCAGTCGGTGGGTTTCGGCGCAGTGTACTACGGAGGCGGCGAGGCGGGTCCCGGCGCCTTGGCCGTCCTCCCCCTGGCCACTGAGCGAAGCCTGGAGCCGGACCGGGGCGCACGCGGCTACCCACTCGGCGCCTACACGGAGATGGCAGCGCGTATGTTCCTGGGCACGCCCGTGTCCGTGCGCCGGATGGTGGAACGCCCTCCGCCAGGCGCTCAGAAAGACCTGCTGATTGCCGAACTGGAGTCGGCGCGGCGGCTTCACCACCCGGGTCTGCTTCTGCTGATGGCTGTCTGCCCGTCGGAGAACCTGGACGCGGTGACGCTCGTGTTTGAGCGCGTGCCGCTCGGCTCTCTGCACCACTGCCGGTACACGTGCGGGCTGCGACTGGCGCACACCGCCGCTGCCGAACTGCTGCTGCAAGTGTGCGCCGCGCTGCAGTTCATGCACGCGGCGCGCTGGCTGCACTGCGCCGTCACCTCACACGCGGTGCAGCTGCTCACGCCCGCACACGCCAAACTCGGCTGTTTGGAACACGCTCTACAAGTATCCTCTGGCCCGCCTCGGCCGCAGAAACGGCTGCTGGCCTGCCGCGCCGAGGGAGCGCTCTACAACTGGCTGGCACCCGAGGTACTCCGGGACGGTGTCCCCACCGAAATGGCCGACACGTACTCGTTCTGTACGCTCATTTGGGAGCTGATCCACGGCGAGGTGCCGTGGGACGGTCTCGGTGTGGATGAGATCAGCGAGCAGGCTGCGGTCGGCGGCTGCGCGCTGGCGATCAGTCCCGAGCTCTGCCCGGTCATCCTACGAGACGTGCTGGAACTGGGCCTGCGTGCCGACCCGCAGAAGAGAGATCTACACCTGGACGAAGCCAAGTTCATGTTGACGAACCTCCGCGACGGCGTACAGAGGAGTCGATCGAAGGTCTCATCTGCCCCGGTCGGTCAGACCCCGCTGGCTCGACCTGTGACCCCTGCCAGTCGACCCATGACTCCTGCCAGTCGCCCGGCCACGCCAGCCTCCACGGGTCGCCGTCTGAAGCCGCCGGCGCCGGCGCCGCCGCGACACGTGACCCCTGCGCGGCTCTCCCGCACGCTGTCTCCCGACGCATTGCGTCCGCCGGCCGGCCGCGAGCCGTCGCGTCAGGCGCGCACTCTGGACACGTCCTACTCTGAGCATCGCACCTCTGTCTTCACTACCGGAACCTCAAATGCCGCCGCCGCTGCTACTGACGACGCCGACACCGACCCGTACACGGGTCTGCGCCGGACGGCCACACCCCGTATGCACCTTCGGAGTGCCACCTGGCAGACCCGACAACCCAGCCCGACCTCCAGCTGGAAGGAGGCGACCGCCATCAAACCTGCCAGCCACCGTCTCACTCGTCACGGCTCATCGTGTTCCCTGAACCGTCGGCAGGCGGCGTGTGCGAACGGCACTGCCGCCTCGCCCTGGCCGCCGGCGGAGTGGGACGGGGACACGCCGCCTGCCGGTCGCAGGAGGATCGGCTCGCCGCGTCAGCACAGCGTCAGCTTGGACGGACAGGTACCGGAGTGGAGGGCGGTCGCCGGAGATAGGGTTGCGGCCGAGGCACCGAGGGTGGTGGAGAGGTCTGCGCTGGGGGCACGGTTGAAGGCGGGAAGGACGACACACGAGGATGTCACCGGTGGCTTTTCGATCACGACTATCCTTTGGTCCCTGCACCGCGTCTTCGTGCTAAATCTCGCACTGAAATCCTTCGCCCATCATTCTTTGAGTTCGTTTTTCCTTCAATGTATAGGTACCAGTGCATGCACACAGCTTGCAGACCGTAGTTAGCTAGACATAATAAAAAAGGTGAGTGCTGGATATGACAGTGCAATTTTCAAAGTATAATTGTTTAGGTATAGGTTCTTAGTACTGGAGTTATTTTATCATTATCATCCAGTTAATTTAATATGAATGTAGAAAGGAAGGTCATTTACTTTTTCATGTTGGTAAATGACCAATTTATTATTGTCAAAAGCGCCAGCATACCATCTAACAATTTTAGATAAAATCCCGACTAGCTGGTCAGTGTAGCTCTAGCTGCACTGTTACTCAGTACACACTCATCTGTACTTATCTGCACCCGGTTGACCGTCGATTGGTAAGTACTTTGCATCTGAGCTGAGCATGCGCCGCAGGTAGGTACTAAGCATTCTGCAGTTATTAGCTACCTAACCCACGGTAGGTATGTGAAGCGCATGTGATCTACCTTCCCTGGCACGTAACCAAGCATTAACGTGGCGACAACTAATGTCCGCATGCTGGCTCCATTTTTGCCTGATCTGCCACTTAATCGCACCTAACCGTGTTAGCAATGTTGTCATTTGTTTGTCCTGAATAATATCCTGGTTCATTTGCATACCGTTTTCCTTACTCATTTTGATTGTGTCGCTACAGCGTCCGTTGTTTTTGCCGTCATTGTCATTATCTTGCTGGTTTGTTTATATCAGTTGTCCCCCGTCTTCCTTCTGTTCCTTCCGCAAGCCGAGTTTGTTGTCTGACCTTTGCACATACTTCACATTCCTCCCCCGCGTCTTTCCGCTTTGTTTTCCCCCAGCGGTTTCGTCGTCACCTTTGACTCATGTTGACAAATGCCCACTTAAAGCTCCATGTCTTTTCTAGTGGCTGTGAGTGTTTCCTGACCTCTGATCCCTGTTCACAGCCCCCTCCCTTTACCCTCCAGCGACCGTTTGCCGACCTCTGTCCCTGGCATTCTCCCCTGATTGATCGTTCTCTGACCTCTGTTGCCGGTTCCGTAGCCACCCGTGCCCTCCCACCGTCGCCTGTCTGACCTCTGCCCGGGGTGGCTCGCAGGCGCCGCGTCCTCCCCGGTTCAGTCCCAGTCCGCCGTTGGTGTGCAGTCTGGGTCAGCTGATGGCCCAGCTGGACATGGACCACCTGTTTCCGCCGCTGCACGGCCACTCCCAGACGGCCGGCGGCCAGGAGAGGGCCCCGGCCGACCGGTCCCGGCCGCCGCCCTCCTCAGCTGCGGCCGCCGCTCCCCAGCCGCGGCCAGCGGCCGCCGCCCGCACCGTCCAGGTCCGATCCGTCGTCAATCGCACCTCCCTGTCAGTCATTGATGAATGATAAATCATTGTGTTTCTCCTGTCATAAGATGTGTTTCTCATGTTTTCCCTGATTTGAGCTCATCATCTTGTCCTTATTTTACGGCACAAGTCCTTTTATCCTCGACTCGTTTTATCTCGGTTAAATTCAACTCCTTACGTGCCCAAAAATGCTCGATACGTTCAGCTTTTCTGCACAGCGTTCGCTATACCAACCCAAGTTACATGCAAATCGCTCTTTCGCCGAATAACCCTCGTCCGGTTTGGTTATTTGTGTGAGTAAACCGCAGGCTTTACACGCATGTCGTTCACTCTGTTTCCTTTGCACTGCATCCATTTGTTGCACTCCCAAGACCGGTCCATTTAGTCTTTTTAGTCCATTTCGTTCCTGGTAACCATTAAACCCTTAAATGTGTTAACCTGTAGCCAATTATTTGATATTTTAACCGTCGTAATTAATTTCAGGGTATTGTAGTGATTCCTGTATCGGATACTTTATTTGCAGATAACAGTCTGAAAACTGCTTGCAATGCAACGGAATGTGTTTGATGAGTTTGACTAACTTGGTTTGGAGTCGCTAATTCAGTTTGGTTGCTGTTTAATTTCATAGCCTGACCACTAGCATTCGCATAGCTTCGCATCCGGCTCATCGTGGTGATTTAGCGCGCCTAATTCGCCGGCATGACCCGCGCTTCCGTGCGTCGTTTCAGAACAACTCACCCGTGACGGTGCCGCGTCCGGCTGCCGACCGCCGCCGTCCCGACCACCTCCGTCCCGCCCCCGCCCGATCCTACGGCTCAGCGGAGGCGCGCGGCGCCGACCGCGGCACGCGCTCCCTGCCGCGCCTGGCGCCTCTGATCTCCGACCCGCGCGGAGTGACCCGCGGCCGGCCCGGCGCCGGCGCCGCCGGTCCCGGCCCGTCGGCGGCCGGCCCGTGGCGCCGGCGGGAGATGGAGGTGCAGGCGTCGGCGGCCGTCACCGACACAGCGAGCCAGACCACCTCCGGGCAGCGGACCGGCCGCTGGCCGACAGAGAGTAGCAGCAGTAACGGGCCCGGCCGGAACAGCAGCTCGGGAACTGCTCCCAGCAGCACCAGCACCAGTGGTAACGGCGGACACGTGTTTACCAGTAACGGCAGCGGCAGTAACGGGCAGACCCAGACCAGCACGGAACCCACTCAGACCAGCAGCTCGGAACCCACACAGACCAGCAGCACAGAGCCTACGCAGACCAGCAGCGGTCAGATGACTAACGGTACCTCTGGCTCCGTGCCCAACCACAGCCACCACGTGAGCACCAGTCAGGCTACCACTCAGACGGTCCGCAGCAGCACGGCACAGTCGACCATCTCCAGTGACGAGCAGATGGTCTCCTACAGTAAACAGAACTTCGCGGCGCGGCGCGAGTTCTTCAGCGGTCGCTGCGGCGGTGGCAGCACGTCGCACAGTCAGTCGGACAGTGCGCTGAGACTACCGCAGGGTGTGAAACTGAACCCGGCTCTGATGTTGGTGCGCGACCCGCCGGCGCCGGCTGCCCCATCGGCCGGCGCGCCGCCTATGGACACTTCATCCCCGACTGCGAGTCGAGCTCTGCTGCTTGGTCAGCCGCGGCCATTCCAGCGCCCCGCCGGCGCCGCCACAGTGACTCGTGTACCGTACACGTCTCCGGGAGCCTCGCGTCGGGCGGAGGAAACGTCGGAAACCCCTGCTGAGCAAAACTCAGACCGCGATCAACCAGCTTCCTCTGCCGCTACCGTCTCGGCGGTGACATCCACCCCGCACAAACCTGCAGGAGCGCAGCCCGAACCACCAGCCGTGTCGTCTCTCTCATCTGGTACCCCAAACAGCGGCGCGGCCGGCCACCGACTAAACGTCACCTTCCGCGCCGAGGTGCTCGAATTCTCTGCGCCGACGCCGCCGGACGAACCTCTGCCCTCCCCGCCCGAGTCACCCTGCCCGGCTGCTTCTGATGACGAGCGGTGCTACTATGATGATGATCTTGCAAGTCCGGACGCTCCTCCGCCCCACTTACAACTCCTAGAGCAGGATCTACCCGATCCTCCGCCCTCACCACCGCTGCATCCGCCGCCTTACGCTGCGTGTCTGGACGACGGCGGGCGGGCGTCGCCGCTGAGTATGGAATTACCGAGCAGTGCGGCAGGAAGTGAGCTGGACGACCTCCCCGCGCTGGGACTGGGAGCTGATGAGCTAGACGGAATGGCCGATCTGGATGATGAGCTCACCGATCCTCTGACGCCTCTGCATGTCTCTGAGAGCGGTGAGAGTGACGATGAGCCGACCCTGGCGACGGTGACCGGTCCGAGAGACCGCCGAGGTCGTGAGGGATCGCCCTGTATCACCAGTTCTGAGACGACGCGTTCGGACGGCAGCCGTGTGCGTCTGTTCGAGGTCTCCTGCGAGCGCGGGTTCGAGACCCAGGTGGAGACGTGTGCCAGTCAGGATGGCCAGTGCACGGTGACGTGTACGAATACGAACCTGAACAGCGGATCGACAGAGACCTACCGGCAGACGGTGTCGGCCGACCAGGTGCAGACGCAGATCGTCGTGGCTGACAGATAGAGCGTCGTCAGCGGCAGAGGGGACTTCGTCGACGACAGGTGAAGCGTCTTTACCGGAGTGTCAAAACCGACATATGATTTGTCGGTGTTGCTGGAGATGGCATTTGGTGCGGAAATCTGGATAGAGAAGAGGCAAACCTTGGATCTGAAGTGTAAGATGAAATGGTAAAGGAACAGAGTAGAGTGTTGTGATGAATTACGCACGCAGCTATACCGTGCAAAAGCAGCAGGGTTGATTGGGCATTTGGAATCTGCCTCTGTCTTCCATGACATCGGGTCCATTTCATACAGTAACGTGTGTGTGTGTGTGTGCTGAACGCTGCCAAAAGTGTGCCGACTGGGGAATCTCGCGTTAATCTCAGTGGTGCGTGTCCATGAGTTTTACCAATAGCGCACAGGGTTTTCACTAGTGGCTCTGTTAGCGGTGACGGGCGGGTGTGTCCGCGTGTGGTTCCTCGCGGGGAGTTGTGCTCTATCTGGCGACGGTCATTCGTCGCTCAGTGGCGTTTGGCGGCCGGGGTTCCTGTTGTCGCGTGTAATCCGGCCTTTCGCCAACGGTACCGTCCAAGTGAGTGTCTTCCTTGGTGCGCGGGACGTTTTCCCATGGAATGATGTACCGGACCTGCCTAATGGATGTAAGAGTCGAGGCGGGATTCGGGTTGAGAGGTGCACTGCACAAGCACGGATGACGTAATCTGAGGATATTTTAGCTGTGATTAGAACAGTAGCACCGTAGATGTGCTTGTTCGCCATTCCAAATTCTAGTGCACGCTTGTTGCAAAGAGGTAGCTTGTGAGACTTGAGAGCTGCTAGGCCGTAGACCTGCCATGATTTGTGATCCCAAAGATCGTATAGGAACAATCGATGACATTAGAAAAGACATCACGCTAGCCTAGTACATCGTTGATTGCATTTGCGCTTTTACGTTCGGGGCTGTAAATATGTTTTTGCAATACCAAAGACGCCGAGAATCTCGCTTGATTAGACGTGTTGTAGTTACTCCAGTATTAATGTTCTGTTCACTCATTTTTATTCCTTGTTTTTTAGTTCGTTCGCTCAGCCATAGCCTTGCTAATGTTGAGGGACACGCAATAGTTGATATTATTTTTGTTACACAATCAAATTTTAATAAACATCAAGATGAATGTAATTGTTTCAGCGCTCCGTGATACCTACTGTCTTGCGAAAACTCTGGAAACCTATGGCGGATGTTGATAAGTGGGATTTATGGGGTCAGAAAATGTCTGGCCTGTCCTTCATTGGAACGGAACGCGTAACGTAACAATCATTCGTTTCGGAATAATTTTGCTGGAAACTATGAGCACATCCCGCCTTTTCATACGGGCCCAGCAAAGTAAGAGGAATACGAGGGCTCTGAGTGATTACTGAAAGTTCTTTTTTTATATTATTGAAAGCATCGAATACGGCATGAACTAGTTAGGTGCATTCGAGTGTTGTATTACGCTCGTATCGTATCGTATCCGATGCGCTTAGGTTATATATTGGCCGTGTCTTGGCTCAGGCTCCATGCCGGCGTGAGGGATGATATTGGCTTTAAAGACTCTGTATCGGTTCCAGATGGCTCTAAACTGGCTACAATTAACCTCGTAAGGCTGTCGCGCTGGCTTCTGGAAATGTCAAAATCCTGCACAATTCAACGTATGTGATGCCAGAGTTTCTATTTGGTAGTCACATTTTAACACTCAGTTTGACCCCTTCATGGCGCGGCAGCGACATAAAAATTGTAAACATTGTAAACAAAGCGCACACGCGGGGAGTCGGGACAAAGCGTGAGGCAAGGCCAGTGAGGCTGTTGGAAGGTAAGTGATAGTGATCGTCCGATTTATTTTTGTAAATCTTTTTGTAACTTGCTATTGTCTGTTTCATCATATCGATCATAACCAATCGTTTTCAGCCGTGGTCCCTGCTTTGCGTGGAGAAGAGGCAAGAGCTCACGCTAGCAGCCCAGGTGAAAAAATCTTACAAGATTGTCAGGCATTATTATGCAAGACAATCTTGCAAGAAATTGGCCCACTTTCTTGTAAGACATTGTGTATGAATCTTGCATGTCTTGTACAAGATTCTTGTAAATCTTTTACAAGAATCTTGCACATCTTATACAAGATTCTTATAAATCTTGTGCAAGAATCTTGCAAGTCTGGTACAAGATTCTTGTAAATCTTTTACAAGAATCTTGCACATCTTATACAAGATTCTTATAAATCTTGTGCAAGAATCTTGCAAGTCTGGTGCAAGATTCTTGTAAATCTTTTACAAGAATCTTGCACATCTTATACAAGATTCTTATAAATCTTGTGCAAGAATCTTGCAAGTCTGGTGCAAGATTCTTGCAAATCTTTTAGAAGAATCTTGCACATCTTATACAAGATTCTTATAAAGAATCTTGCTGGTCTGGTACAAGATTCTTGCATGTCTTGCACAAGGCTCTTGCAAGAGTCTTGTAAGACTCTTACGTGTACTGTATAAGAATCTTGCAAGAGTCTTGTACAAGACTCTTGCATGTCTTGTACAAAGCTTTTGCTAGAGTCTTACCAGACTGTTGCAAGAGTATATTGTACAAGACTTCAACAAGTTTTGTACCAGACTCTGGCAAACCTTCTACAAGGCTTGCTAAGACTCTGACAAATCTTCAGCAAGACTTGGAAGTCTTATCGAAGACTTGCAAGCCTTGTGCAAGACTTCCAGACACATCGTTGCCCTAAGATATTGTTTCGATTGTATATATGTCAAGACCCATGTGTACGAAATCCGCAAAGTGAAATGGATAATATGCCAGTGTAAACGTCAAAATCAATATGTATTCATAAAAAATGTATAGCTGAGAACACATATCAACAGCCCTTTACTTTTCGAGTCATCCACACGTCACAGTCACATCACACCATCACACCGTTGATGTCACGTCATGTCACCATTGTCGAGGCCGCCTTTCCGTCTGCATCCAGCTATACTCGTACACATCTTGAGCGAGGATGTCGTCCGTCGAGCCTTGCATCGCATATTATTGGTGAGCCGAGATTCTCGAATGCTGAAATGAAATGTCATTTATATAATCAGGTAATATCCAAAGCCAGATGTGAAAAGGTGAGCCAGTACCTATCAGTCAAAAACTAGAATTGATGGGGCTCATTTTCAATTAAATAAGTAATTAAATAAGTAATTTAAATAAATAAGAATAAATAATCCTTACGTATCTACCATCCCTGGGGCCAGTTTCACCGTATGACGTTACCGTCAGCACTATTCCCTTTGTCGCATGCAAAAGAATGACAGGCGATCAGCTATTTTTGAGTGAACGTTTCGAGACTTTTTTCTGTAATGCTGCAAATATTGAGAATATTGTTACACAGCAATACAGCATGGCAGAACCTTACCTTCAGGTCGGAAGAGGAGACGGCAGACGACACCAACACCGCACGGCACACACTCGACACCCCCGTCAGCCGTGCGCACATCGCGAGCGGGCAGTGAATGGGACGGATGGAATGCGGCGGAGGGGGGTGCGCGCGACGCGCGCTCCCCTCTGCGGCGTCTCCGGCCTTCGCCTCAGGCGAGGATCGGGACTGGGAGGGGACGCCCGCCGCCGACCGTACGGTCTCTAAAACGGTCAGTGGTCGCTAAATTCCAGTCGGTACAGTCTAAAAGATCACCACTGCGCACAAATGCACGCTTGTCCCCGAATAATACAGTACAGTAATGCGTCAAAGTAAGCTGAGAATGTTATGAAGGGATTTGGGAGTTATGAAGTAAATCGATTCTTTTATAGGGATCAATTCACAATTCGTAATTCCCTATATATCGGGACAATGTTGACAACAACATTCGAATGTTGATGTCCCGCCAGTTCTAATAATGAGATGTGACGTCCTGAGGACAGAGGTGAATAAGTCCCGGTAGGTTGCAGATTGAGAAGAAATGTCCAGTCCAACTTATCAACGCACCGGGGCGAGGCATTTCTCCCAAGGTACTCCTCATGCTTATGTATGAGGCTTATCAATGGTCATGACCGATCAGCGAGCTGTTAAAAAAAAAATCTTACAAGTAACCAACAGACTTGCCAGAATCTTGCAAGAAAGATTCTTGCAAGGAAACCACCGCATTCTTACAAGACTCTTGCAAGATTGGGGCAGTCTTGTACAAGATTCCCTAGGTCTTGCAAGACTGTCCTCAGAATCATATAAGATCTTGCAAGATCGAGAAGATTCTTGTAAGATCTTGTAAGATTTTTTCACCTGGGAGAGCTACCGGTGCCCTCAGCCTGAGGGGTTTTTGATCTTCAGTGAGCGCCGCCAGCCAGTTTGCCATTGTTTTAGCCAAGTTTTAGCCTTGGTTTAGCCATGCTGATCGCAGATTGTTTGTAAATGAATTTATGGTAATTAGTATTTTGTTATATTGTGTGTGACCTGCAAAAGAAAAAGAAAAATGCAAAAGCTTAGGTACCCTATCATGGCCGGTGACGTTCTTGCGCCGGTTCTCCTTGCAAGCTTCAAACATGTGTCACCATCCTTTCTGGGTTCATTGCTGTAAAGGAATTAAGAAAGAGCTGATTTTTATTACTTATTTATTTCTTTTTTATAGACATTTATCACTTCTTTTATCTATTTTATGGACATTCATCGTTTTATTGACATCTATTATTTGTCATATAATATACAGGTATAGTGTTTTTTATTCAAGGTATACCTATCAAACATGAAAATATTGGGGCTGGTTATAAAATAAGAATGTGCCCAATACCAATTCAAAAAAAAAAATCAGCAATATCTAACATTCAACAATACCCTGCATCAGCTAGTAACAAGGGCTATTTTATTGGATGACCTCACATCCCGAGACCTTGTTACTTGTTGGCTATTGTGATTGAGGCTGGTTGGTTATACCCGTTTCGTGATAATGATATTAATTTCAACCCAGGGAGTGTCAAATCAAAGTGTCACTGTTGGGTTATGGGTCAGTTTCACAGCAGTTTCCATGGGTTCATCCTAGGATCAGGATAGCAAACTTGGCAAGGAAATTACAATGTGTCTGGTGATGGTAGGCTTAGGTTAAAGTTTTGAATACAGTTCAAACTTCAAATTGTGTTGGTAGGTATCTTGAACTCATTCAACCAGTTATATGCAAGAGAAATTAGTTTCTAAAGAAATTAGATTTGGATGGCTGAAGTAGTGGTTATGGATGGCCATGGGGTGCATGCAAAAAAAGCTGGATGAAGCAATCATGAAACCACAAACCAACTACATAGTACATTGCCTTACACTTAGCACTAGCTTTTCAGGAAACCCAGCCCTTACTGTCAGATCAGACAATTCTGGGTTGAATTGGGAGAATTTGGTTGCCAAACCTAAAGATGTCTCACAAACTAACAGTGCAATGGTCCCACTCAGCTAACCAACTAAAATGGGAAGTCCTCCACCAACTGCAGACCATTAATGCCAAGACTTTCATTTATTGGGTGTATGACTGTCAACCCAGGCTCCTCTCCAGGGTCTAGTGCTGTGCCTGCCAACTGACTTCAAAATGGAAGCATGTATTAAATTTGTTCCTGGCAGTTAGGATGCTTATACATGACAATATTTCACCAGTGAAGGAGTATCTTGCTCAGGGGCTTGTGATCACAGCCCTATTCTAAGATACTGTTCATGATTTTGATATCGCTCATTTTGATTTCAGGTGACCATGGGGCTGCTGACTCTTGCTGAATTTCTCTGAATCCTTGTTAACCATCCTGTAATGCCCCTCACCAACCTCTCTTTCTGAGCATCTTCCTTTGTCCAGTTTGTTCCTTTGTCACCACAACCACCGGCACAATGCCTTACCAGCTACCCTCTCTCGAGCATGAGTGCATCACGTCGCTGCTGGTCCACTCCAACTACGTCAAGGCCGCCCTGCAGCAGGTGGTCTCTGTAGAGCTGCGCGCGCAGATCACGCGCCGCGTTATCATGAGCGGCAAGGTGACAGCCGTGCGGGTCGCGCTCAACACCTGGCCCAAGAAGACGCTGGCGCTGGGCGACCTGTGCTGCCGCGAGCGCCTCCTCTCGGACCACGCCCTGTCGATGGAGGTGGAGAACGTGCTGCCGCAGCTGCTGTCTGTCAGCATGGGCCGGCCGTCGTTTTCGCCGCGCCCCGGCCAACTGGGCGGCTCTCCGCTTTCCGTGGGCTTCATCAGCGCCCGCTTCCTGGAGATGACGCTGAGCGATCGGCCGGGCCAACTCCGCCACCTCGACATGACCTACTACGGCATGGTGACGCTACCCGAGCTGGAGCCCATCCTGGACGCGCTCTTCGAGATCAACCGCACCGACGCCGAGGAGGGATGCCACATCAAAGAGCCGTTCTCGCTGTCGGTGGGCCTGGCCGTGTCTGCCGACCACGAGACCCGTGAGCTGGAGGCGGCCACCGTGAAGCTGGACTGGTTCCTGAAGAAGCAGTCGCAGCGGCGGGTGCGCTGTCAGCTGCGCATCACCGGCCTGTTCTCCGGCGAGGAGGAGCTGCAGAAGCGCGCCCGCAGCCTGCTGAGACTCCTGGTGCGCCGCAGCTGCCCGATCGAGGTGCTCATCACCAACGGCTCCTCCGACTGGGGTCGCGGCGAGCAGGCCTCGCTGGTCGAGCGGCTCAACAACTTGCGACTGGTCGGCTCGGGCGCCTGCGACGCACGGATTCCCATGCAGCCGCGGCCGCGGCCGCAGCCGCCGGCACCCCTCCCCGTGGTGGCAGTTGTGCCGGATGAACCGGAGGAGATGCGGCGCCAGGAGCGCGTGTACGGCTTGGTGCTCTCCGGCTGCAGGAGGGGCGTGCCGCGCCGGATCAAGGAGGCGTGCGAGCCGTCGGGCCCGCTGCGCTCGCTCTCTGTGTCGCGCAGCCTGCTCAGTCTGTTCGCGGCCAGCGAGCTGCACCAGCTGCAGCGGCTGACGATCGTGCACGGCCACGGCTCGGCGCTGGAGCGGCCGCACGAGATGGACGCGTTCCTCGACTACCTGCCGCAGCTGAAGGAGCTGCAGGTGCTCTCCATCTACGAAGCCGTCTCCAAGTGTCAGCTGCGGAAGCTGGCCGCCGCGCTGCCGGAGCTGCCCGAGCTGCGCTTCTGCCGAGTGCTGGCCGTGTCGATCAACCCGATCGGTGCCCTGGCGGCGCTCGGTATAGGCGCCCGACAGGCGCCCATGCTGAAGATGGTGCACGTGAAGCTGGACCGCAAGCCGACGTCCGACGAAACGCTGTCACTGAAGACCCTGACTGAGGTTCTGTCGCACCGGCTGGGCGAGCCGCGCCGCGATAACGTCGGGTTCTACCTTACGGAGGGCTCCTACAACCCCAACGATGTCGAGTTCATTCCGCTGTGAGACTTCCGGGAGGTCGGAGGCTTCTCTGGGCTACCGGGAAGGCAGTAGGGGGCAGCCAGGCCTGCGTTGGCAGTGGTCACCCCGCTACCCCTACGCTGATGAAGCGAACAGCAAGCCCAGACGGAGCTGAACCAGTACTGTGGTTCAACGAAACAGAAGTACGTTCCTCCTTGTATTTATCTCCTTTGGTTTTATACTTTGCACCTTTGTAGAGTTGTACATGTTTGACAGCGAGAGTTTTACGTTTTATTCGTTTTTTTTTTTTTTACTTGGCATCACTTCTTTTTATATATTTGATCGATATCATTTCGTTATCGTTTGTCCTCATTACAAATTCCGTGTTATTTTTTAAATAATGATTTAACACTTTTCGCGTCACGTTTTTCTCTTCCTGACACTGGCGGATCCAAGGGACGTTTGGGGCAAATTTACCCCTCGCAGCGCCCGAAATCGATGAAAATTTGTCGTTTTTTTTCTAGAAAAGAAAAGAAAACTAAACAACATAGGAAAAGGTTTACATCACACTGCACAGCAACCCATGAGCCATGAGAAATCAAATTCCGAAGGGTCTTTGGAATCAGGAGTTTTCAGGGGTATGCCCCCCCCCCCCCCCCCCCCCAGCGTGCGAGACCGCCTTTATGGATCCGTCATTGCTACCAGACATACCTAAAGACAACCTCAGTCTGCCAATTTGTATCCTATATATACGATGAGTCGTTGCTTTTGATTACCAATCTTTTTTTTAACCAATCTAGCATTCCAAAAGTGTAATATTTGGAAAGAGAGAGAGAAAAAAAACGGAATAAGACGAAAACTCTCGCATGTGTATCCTGTATTTAGTAATCAAGTGTGTTTCTACATACTGGGTGTCTATGGCTACAAGAAGTGGCGCCAGGTCAGCTATTTATTCCAGAGCCAATAGCTTTTGTAAGTTGATATGGCGACTCAGGTTCCTTATACGGGTATTTACTTTCCAAGAGCTTTCTAGAGTGCTTACATCTGGAGAGAAGATTCTCCGGATAGATGTTTGTACTCGTATTTTTGTGTAGCGTGCTTGATGGTGTTAAGTGTGAGCTGGCTGTAACGTAAGGCGAGCTTTGGTATCTAGCCATCAATGGCTAGCGCTCAATGTTTTTGGACTTCTTGAATCGTGAAATAGTTTCTTTATCGATGGTGATCGGAGATGCTGTGGCAAGATTGCTGAGCTCGATTTGTTTGGTCAGTGCGATAGCTTTCACTAAAAGTGCTTTCAGCAAAGTATGCTTAGGGTGATGCAGAATTATGATAATGCTTTTGAACAAGATGTTCATGCATACGTCCTACAGAGCAGCATTTATCAACAATGTTTCAAAGCTGGTACAAAGATGATCTCGGTCGCAGTGATGTGCGATTTTCTATCATGCAGCGTTGTCTTTCCATGCGTAGTGTGCCTTGCTGTAAAAGCTAGTAAGCCGAGGTAAAGTAAGCACCGTAAACCAAAGGGGAGTTCTTTTGTGGCATTTATACATCCGATTGACCAGGTGACCTGACTGCGAAGTAATGTAGCTGTATATAGTGTGCAGTGTGGTACTTAACTGGGCAGAAAATACACGACTTTCGAGAAGTATACTCCATTTGCTTTTTTCTGTGTCGTTTTGACGGATGCTCAACCAATATTCTACATATACCAACATATACCAACTATATATACCAACTATAGATCAAAATCACAGGAATGATGTTCCTTGACCTCCGGAACACGAAAATAGTGCTCCTTTTAACCGACATCAAAGACTTTTCCAGATATACGCATGCGTGCACAAATGTGCACGCATGCGTATATCTGGAAAAGTCTTTGATGTCGGTCAAAACAAACACTATTTTCGTGGCCGCATAGCCATGGCCGCACAGCAGCCATGACTGCTGTGCGGCGCGCCCACCCCAGGAGAGTGTGATGAATGAAATGGGTGGAGAATCGGAGAACTGGATCCCGCGCCCGTGGATAAATGGAGAGGAAAGAAGTACAATTTGCCTTTCAGGCACAGCTGTGAATAGTATTACTGATGCCAGAGTAACATTTACTTACTCAAGTGGTGGCAATGTCTTCCGACACTAGCGCCTCTGATGTAGCTAGACCGAACGAGGTGCCTGAGCAGAGGACGCAGCTGTCGTCGGAAATACGTATAGACCAGAGATGTACTCGTATGCGGTGGTGTACATAGAGGGTCGTGGGACGATTGAGCCTTCGAATAGCGAATGTGAAGTTCTGTTTAGTCAAGTTTCCATTCAAGACAGTGAGTAATAAATGTTTTGGTTCCAAATGGTGTTTTTTTTTTTTTGTCATTCAGGTGTAACATACCTATTGAAGAGAGGCCCTCTCAGGATCCGCACCCTACTCGCATTGGGGGCCGCTTATTAAACTCATTTCGGAAAGGACGGGTCATGAATGCCTTAGGCGGCGCGTTTGTTGCAACGTTTGTTTTGCTTCGGGTACATGTAGAATAAAACATGATAATTGTTATTCATGTAGTGAAACAAACTGGTTCGAATTTATTATTCAGTTTAATGCCTCTATATTTTAGTAGTGGGAACCCGTCTCCTCATTACATCCTCATTACATATACTCATTACCCTCTCGAACTTGCCGACTGCCGGGACGTAGCCTACTGCCTTTGCTACGGTCCCTTCATCTTTATGCCCCAGAGCTTTATTCGCATTATTTTTACCCACGGCTCGGCCCATTTTCCGGGACCTTTTAGGAGCGGGCTGCTGACGCAGGTTATTTTGTGCGCCCCCGGCGGCTTTGTTCTATTGTAATTTGTCGAGCTGGATCAAAGGCCCCCTGCCGGTCCTCATTTGTGCGCGACTTTGAATGCAGGTGCTGCAAAAATGGCGACCATCTCGCCACCGAAGCTTGTGTTGTTCTTACAAACCCAGGTGCGCTGCCGCTCTCGATCATTACCTCCTAAATATACCTGTACAGTGGACATCATGCTATTTTGCTTTGCATTGCTTTGGTGAGGAAGGGTTAGTCATCTACCTGGCCCTTAAAAATGTCTCTTTAACTGTGATTACGGTGACGGATGATCTGCTTCATGAAATGGTGTCTTCGTGGGTCTCTGGAGGAAACATCAAATCCCTCCCCGAATGGCTACTGACTCCACTCAAGAGCCGATAAGTACACACATCTTGAGCTATTTGGTGACCGTACCCCACGTCAATATGCAAAAACGTCTTTTATGACGCAGCCTGTTACCACCGAGCCGTACAGGGCTGCGGGGCAGCGCTCCGTATCGAGGAGATAATGGGACGGAGAGGCGCGGAGTCGGCCGCGGCGGATGCACGGTGAAGTCACCTGAAGAGGCTGACATCGTTAGGGAGCACACTCGGCGTTCAGCAGATCGAAATAACGAACACCAAGGGCGGGCGTATCGTCCATTGACGCCTAAAGCCCAGATAGACACTCCGATAAAACAACACCGAAGAAAAAGATAAATCACCTACCAAAGCATTTGAAATTAATGGAATCATTATTGGATAAACTCATGTGCGATTCTGTGATTGTTTCGTGCGACGTATTTACATGAAAATGCGTAGCTTTGCCGTTTGCGGGCTTGCAAAAGAAATACACGTAAATCAACTAATAGCTACATTTCATACTACTGATCAAAATATAGGTGCCGTTTTTTTCGTTCTTTGATCTGTTATTTTTTTAACGTAAGTTCCTGTATTTAACTGTTTGTCTGGCCTCCAGCCGGCTGACATGACCACTGCCTGATGCTCTCGCGGCTGCCCAGCGTTCATTCTCTCCTCTCCCCTCGGTGGTAACCCCACCCCTCCCCGCTCCGTCCCCAGCCAGGTAACTCGCCTCCAAGACGCGTCTCCTGGCGACCCGTGCTGCCTGTTACTCGTCACTGGGCTCACTTTGTGGCTCCGGGCGCGGCTATTCAGGCAGCTAATTTTGCTATTTGGACTGGCCGCCAGGCCGGACAAACTCCTTAATGGCCGCTTAAGCCGTGGCACGACGGAGGATTATTTCAGCCGGCCAATTAGCCTCGCTGGACAGTTGGGACGGACCGACTGACCGACATACGGGCGGACGGACGGGAGTTTGGACGGACGGACGGTTGGAAAAAAAATGGCCGCGGACAGACGAACGGACAGTCCAATGGACATTTTGGTGGACGAGCGGACAGACAAACGGATCCGATGGACGGACGGACAGACTGAAATAATTTTTCCCAGACAGACAATTGGAGTGACCGCGGACAGACGGACGAACGGACGGACGGGGATTTTGGCGGATGCACGGTCGAAGGAAGGATTGGAGGATTGACAAACGGACCTTTGCACGGACGGATGATACGATGATGTGTCTCCTAGTGTTTTTCATTTATGCGTCATTGCATGTTGACAGGCCCAAACTGAACTTTCAACTTACCAATTTCTCTGATGACTGCAAGTGTTGACACACTTGACAGGAGTGCAGCGTGCAATCGCACAAACAGCGAGCGCAGAGACGGCTAGACAGCGCGTTCTGCGCTAGATGGACCGCACAGAGAGCGCGCTTATTGTCCAATGGGCAGCGCAAAATGCGCAATAGGGGAGGCGCAGTCTGCAGACTAAAGAGATAGAACTAGAAGCCGGACTGCTCTGGATTGCTTTGTGAAAACCGAGATGGTCGCTATGTTTTGGGGTGTCTTGTAGTTTTCTTTTTGCATGAGATATTGAAGTTAAACCTATGTGGATTTTGTGCGAGTCTCGGAATGGACGCCTCAAAGTACGAGCTATGACTCAGATCGACAACAGGCACGCTGAAGCAGAACAAAGACTGCCGGAGCGCTCTGCACGGCGACCATTCAAGAACTATTTCTGCTCCCCGTCACGCTATCTGTTGTTGACCCAACATAACACAAACGCGCCATCCACAACTCATTGTGGCGCGCCAGTCTCGTTAATCGCCGCGGCAAGTGTCTGTCTTTGTTTTCTACGGCACAATTTAGATGTGTCGACAGCCGCGGCGGCTGGATGTTGTCCTAGTGTGACGGGTGGCGACAGTTGTGGCGCGTCCGAGGCGACTTACATCAGATATAACGAGCGCAGCTGACGTACGACGCAGCGGCGACGTTTTCGGACGCTATCTCATGTGCGAGTTAGAGCCGACAGCAGCGGGTGCTACGCTCGGCTGTGCCTGTTAGGCGCCGAGATGAAAGAATTCGCGATGTTCTCCCACATGTTCAAGTTCGGCAGCCTTCGACAGCACGAACTGAGGGTGGCCATCCTGCTTTTGCATACGCAAGGGGTATGCTGATGCAATATTTTAATTTTGTTAAATGATGTATATGTTTTCCGCTGTTAAATGGGGGTAGGTATTTTGCATAGGTATGTATTCGCAGTGCACTATTTAAATGAGATATCGAATTCTGGGTGGGCGTCTGGTATGACGCCCCACCTGGGAACCATAAGGCGTTCCGAACTCCGCGCTATCTTTTTCTCCACAATATACGGCGAAATCCCGTCTTCAATCATACCTCGTCCATTGTTCAGCGGGCTATTTGAGCCGGGTCGAGCCCGGTATATCCGGCCGTTCTGTCAGTAACGACTGCTCTCAGTCTCTCACCTGTGGCTATTGAGCGCCAGCGGAGCGGTGCTATTTGGGCCGCTGTCGCTGCCGGGTGCTCCACCAGTTGGCGAGATACCTACGTGCAGAGCTTCTGACACTTCACTGATTGTGTCGCGTTTCATGTAGGCTTTTTTATTATTTTGACACTCGCCCTTATTTGCTTGTTTATTTTCTTTTAACCTGTATCTGTTTTGTAGAATAAACTATGTAGTAACCAGTATAACGCCTTTTGGGGCGACTAACGGAGCGAGCGAGAGGGTGGGCCTTGCACGTGCGAAATTGCGAGGGGGTACCTCCAACTGACTTGTGCACGGCACCCTACTAACCGGTCTCTAGCGATGTGCCAAATTTGAGCACAATCGGCCCAGCCGTTCTCAAGATCTGGAAGCGGCACCCTGCACGTGCGCACGTGCAAAATGGGTCCCAACTGACTTGTGCACGGCACCCTACTAACTGCTCCGTAACCGTGTACCAAATTTGAGCGCAATCGGTCCAGCCGTTCTCGAGATCTGGAAACGACCCCTGCACATGCGCACGTGCAGCAGCGCTCCAACTCTGGCACATGGATATGCATTGCCTAGTGGGTGCCTACCTATGTACATGCCAACTTGCGCAATCGGCCCAGTAGTTACCGAGATATTGCAACAATTACAAAAGTGACACCTCTTCGTTTTGCACGTGGCACGTGCATAAGGGGTCACCCACATGCATCGGGAATCGTCCAATACTTGGTAGAAGGAATGAAGCTACCCTACAAAGATTACCGCATGTAAATTGGTCAAGTGGTTGCTGAGATATAAGCGTCGCAGAATCGTGACCACGGCCGGCCGGGCCGGCCGGCCGCTCATACTCAGAAATTTCCGTTATTCTACGTAAGACTCCGCTCGCTTCGCTCGCTCCGTAATCACCAGTAAAACGCCTTTTGGGCGACCAACGGAGCGAGCGAGAGGATGGGCCTTGCACGTGCGAAATTGCGAGGGGGTACCTCCAACTAACTTGTGCACTGCACCCTACTAACCGGTCTTTAGCGATGTGCCAAATTTCAGCGCAATCGGCCTAGCCGTTCTCGAGATCTGGAAGCGGCACACTGCACGTGCGCACGTGCAAGCGGGGTCCAAACTGACTTTTGCACGGCACCCTACTAACTGGTCCCCAACCGTGTACCAAATTTGAGCGCAATCGGCCCAGCCGTTCTCGAGATCTGGGAGCGCCCCCTGCACGTGCGCACGTGCTGTAGCACCCCAACCTTAACACATGCAGATGAATTATCTGATGGAGACCTAACTGTGTACCGAGTTTCAACTCAATCCAAATCGGCCCAACCGTTGTGCCGTTATTGAGGTTGCAATTTTGGGGGTTCTTAAAAAATGTCCAACTTTACCACGCGCCACGTGCGGTGGTTGGCAAGAACGCATGATGGCCATCACACCACAGAACTTTTACGTCCAAGTGACATTCAGTAAAGAAGACCGCTTGTCAATCGGATGTCCCGTTCCTAAGATATTAGCTTTTGAAGAGCGTCCCCACGGCCGGCCGGCCGGCCGGCCGGCCGCTCATACTCAGGATTTTCCCTTAATTCAGTATGAGACTCCGCTCGCTTCGCTCGCTCCGTAATAAATGCTTATTTTGGTAAGGCATGCATCAGCAAAATACGATCATGAATTAACCACCAGTATGAATAGTTTAGGCGTTCAAAAAGATGTTCGGCTTAACTCTTCAAAGACGCCTACCAATTAAAAACTTCTGACAAGATTATAACTGATTAATATCCATCTCTGTAATAAGAATTCAATCAAAGTTTCATTGTTGTAGATTTTTTCATCCGTCTCAGAAGTCAGAACCATAAACACCTTATGCAGTTCCATGGCTAATAATTAGTCCATTGAATTTCATTGTGGCATAAAGTTCAGTATATTGCCAAATGAATACGTGTTCAACGATCCAATAGGCGTTTTCGCTTTAACCGTCCTCTGCCCGTTTCTCTCGCATTCGAGGTAGAATATGCCGCACTTCTCGTGGGTGCTGCCTTTGAGGTAGACTGTCCCGCACTACATGCAGACGCTTCTTTTGAGGCAGACTGTTACACGCTAACTATACTCACGGACGTTGCCTTTGAGGTAGACTGTTCCGCACTACACACCGGCGCTGTGGCACACCATCGCTTCGACCTTCTGGTCCTTGCGTAACGTTTACTTGTAAATGACTTCTTCTTAGAACTTGAGTTGGAATTTTACTCTCCAGCATCCATAGAAGCATGAGTTCAATAACAAAAATAAAATATTTTGATAAGATAACGATCTATCTGGTGTCTAGGAGCGCGACATTTTCGTGTCTCAGGGCATGCCATCAATTATCAAGCTAAATGTATCGGTGCCAGAGAGCAGCTAGCTATCTCCTGGGCCGAGACAGCTCCTAATTGTGAGATGGGGAACGTCGCCTGCTAATCTCGCACTTCCGATGGTGTCGCTATTAATGTTTCATGCGGGGAATTGTGGCTGCTAATAAGCATTTCGGAAGAATTACGCCAAGAATATTGGCCGTTTTGGGTCAAAGTTCGCAGCCCGTTATATGAATGCCTCAGTAGATGTCTAAGAGGCTTAGTCGAAGGAAGATGATGCCCCCAGAATTTCTTAACACTAGGCCGGGCCCCTGATGCCGGCGCTGCTGCTGACACTGAGGACTATTCGCCTATCACTTATTTGCCTAAAAACAAATACCATAAGCAGGTGGCCGCACTTTTTAACAAAGTCTTTCAAATTAATCCCTGTATCGCTACATTAAAAAAATAAGTTATATAATAATCCCACCGTGTAAGATATCAGAAGTCTACCCGCACTACGGCCTCGTCATTTCCAATCCACTGAGAGCATTGTGCCCGTCTCCGCGGTTCATCTGCATGTCGACTGAAGTCCGATTCCCTTCGACAGCACTTCAGCACCAACCAGTGTCGACGCCGGTGTCTGGAGCGGATTGTGTTAGTTTCGGTGATGCTCGCGCACTACTGATCTCCGCGTGACCGGGGCATTGAAGACGACGTGGGAGCCTTACTTATGCAGAGTGCTACCGGTGAGCCTCTCCTCCGCTCTACCCGCCCACTCCCGTCCTCTTTACCTCTCCCCGTGAGGATGTGGGCACTTTCGTAATATCAGTTGCAATGTCGTACAGTGGGCGAAGCCACAGATCCTAGCGATACATTGATCGCTGCCAATATTGGTTCTCGTGTGGGTGACCTGGTGGTATTGCTTGTGATTCTGTGACCGCCACCGAAGCCATCAAATGACGCCAGTGCTTACAGCTAATGGATTATCATAAGTGATATGGTACAAGTCTGCTTTCAGTGCGTGGTGACCTTTTATTGTCACCAGCACAATGCCAAACGACATAGGTATTTAAGGCCCATGTCGGTAATGTACTTTGTGCATGTGCGGGCCACCCCACGGCGGTGACTGGGCGTGTAATCCACGCAATGCTCGCGCTTGTTCGAGCGAAAATTACGCATACATATTTGAGATTTATTACGAGCATTACTTCTCAAAGCAAAGTGCGGAGCCTACAAATATAATTGATGACTTGCTAAATCATTAACTTCAAAGGCATTACCGGCATCGAAGGATGACGGAACCGACATTTTAGGCGATACATTGGAATCGGTCACTCAACACACGCATATTTTGACAACTCACGATCACTTGGCCACATAACGCATTTTTTTACACATACTAGCACAGCCTTTTTAATTCACGGCACCCGAACTGCGTTCGGCGCAGAGTGTGTAAAACTCTCCATTTGATCGGCGGCTGGGCCGGTTGCGGTCTCTGCGGTCCGCCGTCCGCCCAATTTGACCATGCTGACGTCGCTCAGTGAGGGTAAGGGCTCAGCACACGGGGACCCGGACGGTTGGCCGCAGCCGGGCCCGTCGACCGCTTCTAAAGGGACCAAAGCGCGGCCGCTACGTGCGCCAGAAAATGCCGACAGGGTGGTACGGTCCTGGCAACGGCGACAATGGGCACCGCAGGGATTTTTATTATATAACTGTCACAAAGAGAACAAAACTAGCCGCCGGTAGCGCATGGCAATACCATTTGCGAACTACTGGACATTCTTCCAATTTATAAAGGCGACATTGCCGTCAAATTGGTTACGAGCTTGCTTTAATTTTAAGCGTTGTATTAGATAAAGATGTGATCTATGATAAAATGAATAAAAAAGCAAGAGCACACGGTGGACGATGGACATGGTATTCTCATGAGCTCATAGATTTATTTATTTATCCATACTTGTATATAGTTTGAGGAGCTAACTTAAGCTCAGCTAAATAAAGGCTCCTCAGCATTTGCCTCGAAGTTCATCGGGACGTTGCTATTTATACTCAGAGATCTATATTGGGCCGTCGGTAGCCCGTGGCTGCTTACCTCCACTCGTGTCATTTCACAAGCGGTGGGTGTATTGCGGAAAAGTCCCGACCATCAGTGAAGTTTGCACGTTGACGTTGGAGTCGGGCAGAAACGTAGTCTTGACGTCATCGCTATAGGTAAGGTAGTGACACCGACAAGCATTCAAACTTGGTTATGAATTAAAATTCGTCCATTGGCTGCAAAACGCATATTCAATAGGTACTTTAGTTCATCAAAGGCCAAAGGCCCAGTTCAGCTTCAAGTAAATGTTGCGCTCATTTTACCTAACAGTCGTAACGATGACGATGGATTAACAACTGGCTCTTGGTACGACATATTATGAAGGTTACCCGCCATGACACCGCCATGGCCGTCCAGAGCTATATACTCTGTAGTGAACTATGGTTCACGCCTCCCCCCACCTGTGGCCTGAGTGCGCCGCTGCGCCTCCCTTATCGGCCGTCCCTGTGTCCGTCCCTGCGCGGTGTCCGTCCCTGCGTGTCGCGGCGCATGTGCCTCGGGCGGTTTTGTGTGGCCTGGCGCGGCGGCCGGTCGGCCGGCCGCGCGGCAGTCTGCAGCTGGACCCAATACAGCAAGGAGCTCGGCACGGACTTTACACTGGCGACGAGGTGAACTTCAGGCCCGGCTGATGGTGGAGTGAAGAGCTGAAGATGTCGAACGAAGACGGCACTGCAGCAGCGGGGCACCTGCAACTGGAGCCGTTTGAGCCAGCTTCAGGTTCGTGGACGGAGTGGGAGGAGCGTCTGCAGTTCTTCTTGGAGAGTAACGGCATCACATCGGACAGCAGGAAAAGAGCGACATTTCTCACGGTATGTGGCAAACAGACCTACTCACTTGTACGCAGTCTTGTGTCGCCTAGCAAGCCCGGTGAAGTCAGTTTCAAGGATTTGCTTGAAAAGATTAAGGAGCATCAGGATCCCAAACCGTCCGTACTGGTCAGTCGTTTCAAGTTCGGAACATGTAATCGCCGTCCGGGTCAGGCTGTTGCTGACTATGTTGCTGCTCTCAGGAAAGCGTCTGAACATTGCTGCTTTGAGGACACTCTGGAGGACAGGTTGTTGGAGCAGTTGGTGATTGGAGTCGGAGACGAGAGGATGCAGCGGCGTCTTCTCTCGGAGAAGAGCCTGGACTTCAGCAACGCCGTGAGAATCTGCCTGGCTCTGGAGACGTCGACCAAGGACGCCCACCTCATGTCTCATAACGGTGAGAGGGCCGAGCCTGTACAGGCAGTGAGTGCAGGTTCTCGTAGGGAGCAGCAGGCCCATCCGCAGTGTTGGCGGTGTACTGGAGACAATCACAGCGCTGATGTTTGTCGCTTCCGTAACTCCAAATGCTACAACTGTCACGGACTTGGACACGTGTCCAAGGCCTGTCCAAAGCCCCGCCGCACAGGAGCAGGTCGAGGCAGGCCCCCAGCCGGCCGCGGCAGGGGTCGTCGGCAGGTGACGAACGCCGTCAGCGCTTCAGACACCGAGGACTGGGACAATTGGCCCGATGAAGACGCCGGGAACGTCCAGCAGGTGGCGGCTACCAGCAGCGACAGCCCACAATCTGCAAGCGTCCTCCAGGTGAGTTCTCCGCCACTTCGCTGTTCTGTTTACTTTCAGCGAACGCAAGTAGACATGGAGATAGACACCGGCTCGGGTAACACTCTGATAGGAGAGGACACATACAAATCTCTACGGATACGTCCCAGGTTGAAACCCAGCGCTCTCAGGTTGAGAACGTACACAGGAGATGTGATTTCAGTCCTGGGGGAATTCAGAACTGCAGTAACTTACAAGGGCCAGAAGCATGCTAACCTCAAGGTTGTTGTGGTACAAGGAAATAGGACCAGCCTATTGGGACGGGACTGGTTGAAAGCTGTCAAGTTAGACTGGAAGGAAGTGTGTGCTGTTGAGAATGTGTCAGTAGCGGCGTTGAGAAGGAAGTATGCGGAAGTGTTTGAACCAGGTCTGGGGGAGTTGAAGGATGTGAAGCTCCGCCTGAACATTGACCGAAGTGTGCAGCCCAAGTTTTTCAGAGCTCGTTCCATGCCATACGCCTACAAGGAAAAGGTGGAGAAGCAGCTGCAAAAGGACGTAGAGTCTGGTGTACTTGAACAGGTAACGCACAGCAGGTGGGCCGCTCCGCTAGTTCCTGTCTTGAAAAAGGATGGCACTGTCAGAGTATGTGCTAACTTAAAGCTGACTGCAAATAAGGCTGTGAAGTGTGACACATATCCGCTTCCGCGCGCGCAGGATATTTTCGCGCAGCTTGCTGGGGGACGAGTCTTCACTACGCTGGATCTAGCACAGGCGTATAACCAGGTCATTGTGCATGAAGACTCGCGCGATGTACTGACGGTGAACACGCCGAAGGGGTTGATGCGTTACTCTCGTCTGCCTTTTGGGCTCAATTCGGCGGTCAGTCTGTTCCAGAGGGAGATTGAGCGGGTGCTTCGTGACTTACCTGGTGTGGTGGCTTACCTGGACGACATCCTGATCTCCAGCAGAACGACGGAGGAGCATCTGAAGACGCTGGACGACGTCCTCGGAAGACTGAAGAGAGCCGGGTTGAAGGTGAGACCAGCCAAGTGTAGATTCTTGGTGCCCAGTGTCGAGTACTTGGGTCACATCGTTGACAAGGACGGCATCAGGCCGACACCAGCCAAGGTGCGAGCCATACAGTCAGCGCCAGAACCGAAGAACGTTAAGCAGCTGAAGTCGTTCCTGGGAATTCTGACGTATTATTCCAGATATATTCCAGACCGCAGTCAGAAGCTGGCGCCACTTCATCTCCTCCTGCAGAAGGACGTGGCATGGCGCTGGGGTGCAGAGCAGGCTGCCAGCTTCCAGTGGGCTCGTGACGTCCTCTCGTCTGGCTCCGTGTTGGGTCACTTCGACATCAACAAACGGCAAGTCCTAGTGTGTGATGCCTCCTCTGTGGGAATCGGTGCCGTTTTGGCTCAGAGGGAAGCTGATGGGACTGAGAAGCCAGTGGGATTCGTTTCTAGAAGTCTGTCCCCATGTGAACGCAAATATTCTCAGATAGAGAGGGAAGCACTGGCAATCGTTTTCGGGGTTACCAAGTTTCACGCGTACCTGGCCGGTAACATGTTCTCGCTGGTCACCGACCATAAACCTCTGGTGATGTTGTTCGGTGAACATGCTGACCTACCTGAGATGGCGTCTTCCAGAATCCGGAGGTGGGCGTTGAAGCTCTCGACGTACCGATACGAGATTCAGTACCGGCGGACTGAAGAGATGGGCAATGCTGATGCCCTCAGCCGCTGTCCTCTGCCTGACTCGAACTCTTCGCAGGAGGAGGATCTGGTGCTCCTGGTCGATGATCAACAGCTGTTTGACGCCAGGAAGGTAGCCCTCCTGACGTCTCGTGACCCGGTGCTGTCTCGGGTAATGCGTCTTGTCCAGAGGGGTGGCTGGCCGCAGGTTACAGATGCAGACCTGTCACCTTTTGCCTCGAAGCGTCTGGAGTTGTCTGTTTGTCGTGGAGTGCTGATGTGGGGTCACCGTGTCGTCGTCCCCAGCAGGGCACGTGAAGCAGTTTTGAAGGAGCTGCATGTGGCGCACCCTGGCATCCGCCGCATGAAGGCTCTGGCGAGAGGCTGTGTCTGGTGGCCTCAACTGGACCAGCATATTGAGCACATCGTGAACTCCTGTCAAGCCTGCCAGGAAAGCCGACCTGCACCGGGACGTTCTCCAATCTGCATGTGGCCGTGGCCTGAGCGGGCATGGTCGAGGATCCACGTGGACTTCGCTGAGCCGAAGAAGGGAAGGTACGTCCTGATCGTGGTGGATGCTTATTCCAAGTGGATGGAGGCAGAGTGTTGTACCAGTGTCTCCTCCCAGACGACTATAGCCAAACTGAGACAGATGTTTTCAAGGTGGGGGCTACCGGACGTAATCGTAACTGATAACGCTACATCGTTCACGTCATCAGATTTTGAGGAGTTCGTGCGCCAGAACGGCATTCATCATAAGACCATAGAACCTCGCCATAGTCAGGGGAATGGACTAGCTGAACGTGCTGTACAAGATGTCAAACTAGCGTTGCAGAGGTCGAACAGTGACTGGGAGACTACGCTATCACGATGGTTGCTTTGCCAGCGTATCACCCCGCACAGCACAACTTCCGTAGCCCCCTCAGAGCTGATGGTGGGGCGTGTCCTCCGAAGTCGCCTGGACCTTCTGCACCCGGACCTGCGAACTGAGGTGAAGAAACAACAGGTGATCCAAAAGGAAAACCACGATGCTAAGGTGAGCACTGGCAGGAGACTGGATGTGGCTGACCTGGTGTTTGCAAGGAACTATGGTGTTGGCTCGAAGTGGGTTGCTGGTGTTGTCGTCGGAGTGGATGGACCTGTGTCTTACGCTGTGGAGACTGAAGATGGTAGGCTGTGGAGACGACATATCGATCAGCTTCGGCATAGGTCTGACGGCGAACTGTTTGCAGGACGTTCTGCGCTGACTTCGGAGCCCGGTGACATTCCTGCGGAAGGAGGGCAGCCATCTCGGAATCCGACGGCGGCGCTGCAGCCGTCTCGTCCGGGGGAGTCTGGCTTGGACGCGTCGCTGCCGCCGTTCAGCACACCTGGAGCGGCGCCTAGCGCTCCAGCAGCATCGCCATCGTCTTCGGCGCCTGCTCCGTCGGAGCCCCGGCCTGAGGCATCAGAGCTCGAGCCCGCGTGTGTCGCCGGCGACGCTGGTGCACGGACGGAAACCCCACTGCGTTCGGGGCTCGGAGTGGAGGCTGGTGCAGGTGTACAGTCTCGTGTGTTGGACGAGGGTGGTGGTGTTCGTCGCGGAACTAGAGTGAGAAAGCAGACTAAGTTTTTTGGTTCCTAGCTCTGTTCATATTACTTGTGTTTTGTGAGGGGGCAGTGTAGTGAACTATGGTTCACGCCTCCCCCCACCTGTGGCCTGAGTGCGCCGCTGCGCCTCCCTTATCGGCCGTCCCTGTGTCCGTCCCTGCGCGGTGTCCGTCCCTGCGTGTCGCGGCGCATGTGCCTCGGGCGGTTTTGTGTGGCCTGGCGCGGCGGCCGGTCGGCCGGCCGCGCGGCAGTCTGCAGCTGGACCCAATACAGCAAGGAGCTCGGCACGGACTTTACATACTCAAAACGCGGAGATTTGCCTGCTAGAACTAGGAGCAGCACTTCCATTTCGGAATACAGAGCAATGGCGCGAGTAAGGGGCGGGGACAGGCGCTTCGGCCAAGGCAGGGTCGACTTCGCTATGTTAATATTGATATTTTGATTAAGATTAGTAGTGTTCGATTAGAAGTGTTATTGTCTGCTTTCTACGTGTTTCGAGCGGCGTCTCGTTTTAAGCGCCATAGCGCTTCTACGCCAATCGTAATGTTTCGACAAGTGTGAATATGCTCAAATATATGTAGGTACCCATCCATGCGTATCCTACAATGTGGGCGAAAAGATCTAAAACAGAACAAATAAATGCTATTGAAGAAATGTTAAATGTTAGAAATTTTCGTGTTATTTTGATGTATTAGTCAATGAGCTACGAATTGCTTGAAAAATCGTGAACTGGAAAATTTGTTGCATATGTCTGATAATTCTTAGCTGACTCAAGTCACCGAACTAGATCAAGCTAACTATATTTGTGATCAACTTTTAGACCTTCCGAACGCAACTTAGGACTTCGCTACACTCCATCCTCCGACATTTCTCGTTACCGATGTTTTGTGCACGTCATCTGCTCCCTAGAAATAAACTTTCTTCAAAGCCACCAAGGAAGATGCTCCAGCCACTCAAACTTCCAGTTCAGCTATGCTGGGGTAGGATGGCGGCAGAAATGCTCACTTTTTACGCTTCCACCCAATCCACTTCGAACCGTCAAGGTATTCTGCTATATGTTATTTTTCCGTATTTCCGACACTGGGGTCTAGTTATTCATCAGCTCACTTCCTGGTTTGGAGGTATCTGAGAACAGGCAGCCGTAAACTGATCTCCGTGCTCGGTGTTTGGGGCGTGTTGGGAAAGAGAAGAGGAGAGGGTTGGAGCAAGACTGGGTGATGGTCGGGGGAGGAATGGTGAGAGGCGGGCGGGCTGAATATGGCGGCTGGAGGGAGGGTACCCCTGGGGTGGCACCACCCGGTCGGCTTCCAATGACCCGTGACGGGGCCAACCTCCCCTCCGACGAGGGGAGCACCCCATTGCTGCCGCCCAGTCTCTCGGATGACGAATGTAGCCCCGGCTGACCAATCGACAAATTGATGGGCTCAATCGCTTCATTGAAAGCCATCCGAGGCGGAAAACATATTTTCCTCATCCGGCCGCCACTCTCCCTGCCCCCCCCCCAGCCCAGCTCGTTCCCCTCCCGACACTCAACCTCACCCCTATCCTACACCCCGCGGGGACCCGGCAGGGGTAGCCCGGAGTCCATTAGTCGTCGGCAGTCTGTGCCGCGGCTATTTGGACCACCTGGCCTGGCCGTTGCGCCGGACGCCCGATGCCCAGACGTTATTACTCATCTCCGGCACGGACTGGACAGCGCGCTCCGAAGGGGAAGGCCCGGGTCGGATGGACGGATCACACGGTTCACAAGAGAAAGGACAAAAACAGCCACTGCGCAGTGCACTCTGCATAACAATGCAACAGACAATTTCCTTATTGTTTACATTTTCGGCTTATGGGATCGCGTGTCTTTATGCAGTTATGTCCGAACCGTTGAACGAGCCAGATCGGTGGATAGCTGATTTCCGAGACAGGCTGGTGCTGTCTTCTGCAGCAGGAAATATATAAAATGAAAGAAATGAGATGGCAACATGATAAGACGCCAACTTTGACACGGATCACTTCTTGGTAAAGCGACGATAACTTGCCGCGTACTTTGCAATGCTTTACTTTGCAAATTATTCGTTAGAACTTAGTTTTTACCCACATCCATAACCGAAAAGGTTGAAATGCGGTGTGCGGAGTACCATTGCCACGCCAAAGCCTAAACCACGAACTTTCATTTCACACGACGCTCCCTCCTCGGCTGACCGTCGCCGCCTCGTCGACGTCTGGCCGTCTTCACAAAAGTCCTTTTTCAATTCTCTCTGCTGACTCGGCGCGCCGTGTTGGGCCACTGTCTGCGACGATAGGCCGTCGGAGCGGCCGTCGACGGACGAGCCGGGATCCCCAGCCGGCGTAATAGGCTGATCTGCCACGCCCGAAGCAGGGCCGCCGCCCGCGGAGAGACACAAAGGGACGCCCGCGATGGATGGACGAGCCAATATCGCAGCCCGCGGCCGCGCGCGCGGTGATACCGGTAGGGTACTGTGATACGCGCTGTGACACACACTGTGACACACTGTAGCTCACACCGTGAAACAAACGGACACTCACTCTTAAACTGCGATGCACACCGACACCAGTCCGGTAGAATGATTTCAAACCCTGTGTTGACACAAGCCGTAAGCAATAAGCATTAAGCATGTGCACAGGGGCGGAGCTTCCCATTTAGTTGGTGGGGCGGCTGCTCAACCAACTTGCCATTTTGCCCCACCAATAGGCCTGTGCTTGCCAAACGGTGTATTTTATAGGTCTTCAAACATATGAATTAGAACACATTTTCGGTATTCGTCATACGGAAGTCGGGTCATGATACGCCGCGAACTTCGTCTGAAATTCCAATGCCTCACCATGCGTGCTTGTCCGCCTATTTCCCTCAGTCTCCTAGTGCAGGTCGCCGGATGTTATGGTGGCACCAGACTACTATTTTCTTACGGCCTAACTGGCAAGATCAACACCTCCTGGCCGAGATAACACACTCGCGCCGTGCAGCCCGCTCACTCAGGGAGCACGACCGTCTAACTGGAGGTCAAAGGTCATTCGCTTAGGCTGGATAAACATCACAATAGTTATTACCTCCTCAACGTCCATGTCCGTTTTATGTTGGGAAATAATGGAAGCCAATAATATTTCCAAGGAAGTTGTACGGAGCGTATACAATACATCTGCTGCCGTCATGCACGGCTTGCTTTCTTTATTTCAGTCCGGCCGGTGTCCCTTCCTCTCAACAAGACACCGTTAAGGCTGTGCCATGCTGTGAGTGTGCACATTGCTCATATTACAGCCGCAGTACATTATATGCATAAAGACCCACAACGCATGAGCTGAGGACCTGTTCGACATGATCTCACACACCTGCCGCCAATGCCAGCCACGCCTGTCGCTCGTACACCGCGCCGCGCGAGACGTTCCATCGCCCTCCGGACCGGACAGACTGTTGGCAAATTAGTTTAGAGCGAGGCGTCATTGCTCCTGGACGGAGCCCTGACCGGCGACCGGATCCGATTAGGCACGAGACACCGTCCTCGTGGCAGCTAATTATTCGGGCCGGACTCGCCGTGACGACGCTATTACCGAAACTTGGCGTATATGGTGTCACTCGACGCGTGGCGGTGATTTGGTCGCCGCGCGCGGCGCAGCGGTCGGTAGGTCGGTCGGGGGATGTCAGTGTAGCGTCCCCAGCAACCGTCCAACCACTCCGGTCGAGAGGTCAGGTCGTCAACGCGTTGACGACCTGCACATTGTTTGTTGCAGCGTCCCGTTGCAACGGGATGCTGCAACAAACTTAATGTGCCGTCTCATCCGGCAGGTAATATGGTGCCGCCCCGCCGGGACAGAGTCGCGGTAACAAGGGCACTTACTCGACGAGCGACAGAGAAAAGCGACCGGGGTGGAAACAAAGGCAGATGGAGTGAATGAGAGAAATGAAAAGAACGGAGATAATAATAGTGAATAGCGGAGAGTGGAAAGTTATCATTAAAAACGAAACGAGAGCCATGTATGTTGTCAAAAAATGTACGATAATAGAACGAAACGAAGAGAGAGAGAGAGAGAGAGAGAGAGAGAGAGAGAGAGAGAGAGAGAGAGAGAGAGAGAGAGAGAGAGAGAGAGAGAGAGAGAGAGAGAGAGAGAGAGAGAGAGAGAGAGAGAGAGAGAGAGAGAGAGAGAGAGAGAGAGATAGGAGAAAGCAAGAGAAGATGGCCGAAACTGCCGAAGAAGTGAGAAGCTTTCGAGCGCGGGGAATACAACCGTTTAGTCAGAAAGACGTGCGTGGTAAGTGAGTAGATACAGCCACGAAACCGAATAGATACGTAAATGGAGCTTCAAATCATTCTAAAAAAAATCACCATAGCGCTAAGGAGCTTTGATTTGAGCATAATAGTTTTGAGTTGCATTATCCAACACGATAAGAGCTAGAAGAGCGACCTTGCGTCCATAAACCATGTTCCTAGCGGAAAACAAGAAAGCAAAATGATATTTACAAGAAGACAGAAATACAGCACTCAGCGTTAGTGAGACTTACACTGCATCTGAAGAGAAGGACAGGTGCCGTGGACAGAAACAGCAGCCGACACCGACCGCCGAAAGATGATTGTCTTGGGCGGTGAGCCCCCCTCCCCCCCCGTGACTCCGAGTGGCCCCGTGTGGTGTCGGATGGCCTGTTATTGGGTCGGCGGCGGCCGGCCCGGATTACCGCCGCCCCCGACCCCGCCGCCGCCGCCGCGCCGCCCCCGCCCCCGCCCGGTGATTGTTCCGGGGATGATGCGGTGCTCATACCGCCCCCAGCGGAGGTAAACAGTCAGCGCCACGGTCGCACGCGCGCGAGAGAGAGGAGAGAGAGGGTGTTGGATGATTGTGTTAGGAAATGCAAACATGTGTTGGAGAGTCAGAAGAGTAAATCTCAGTAAATCTAATCCTTAGCGCGAATTACAAATAAATGTTAAATGCCTAGATGTTGGCGCATACTTATGTCTCATGATTCTGTAGCGATTTAGAACTCCTGCTTCCACGTAACCAAGAAAGCTATATTCCGCTCTCCTCCGAGCCTCTCAGCCAACTGCCCAGCAATCACACTCCCAACCAGACCATAGCTCTCACGCACACGTCATCGCGCATCATCATTAGCCAATCACATTGTCATACGTCATCCCCTGTGCAACTGATCAGGGGGCGTAACCCGGCCGCCCCGACGTCCGGCGGCGGCGGCGGATGACTCACACTGGGTCACCGGGTCACGTCCCGCAGCTCAGTCTCGCCGCGCGCCTGACTCATACGCTACTCACATTCCCTATTGTGTCCATCA